AACTCAGCTTTTCCGGGAAGGCTCTGGTCTTCTGGATAAGGGACCAATCACAGGTCAAGGGCAGGATGGTAGGATGTCACAGTCATGAGACGCGGCTTGTGGAGGTCACTGGTGAGATTAACAGGGTGGAGAAAAGCTCACTGCCATCCAGCTGGCAGTGACTTCAGGCTTGTGACCTGAAGAAGAGATGGAGATGAAGGACAACATTTTTTAGGATGGAGGAACCCTGAGCCTGGAGAAGGGGCTAAGAGTGCTTGCTGCTGTTGTGGAGGACCCCACTTCAGTTCCCAGCACCCACGTTGGGCAGCACACAACTGCCTGTAACTCTAGTTTTAGGGGATCCAACATCCTTATACTCATCTGATTTCTGCAGTCACCCACATTCACGTGTACAAACCCATACACAGACACACATAAAGTAAAAAGAAAATAAATCTCTTTTGGTTTTAATGGAGAGGCCGGAGAGATAGCTCAGTGGTTACAAACACGCTTTGAGAGGACGCAGGTTCTGGTCCCATCACCCACACGGTGATTCACAGCCACCTGTAACTCCAGCTCCAGGAGATCTGATGCCCTTTCTGACTTGCCTTGAGCACTGGGCACACATGGGCTACACACACCTATATAGACAAAACACTCAAACACAAAGAAATCTCTAACTACCTTTTTTTAATTGGAGGAAACTTGAGCTCTGGGAAGGGAAGAGGCCAAGCGTGAGGAACAAGGTTGGGAGAGGTACTGGGGGGACACAAAAGGAGTGGCAGTTTGTGAAGCAAGGGGTCTTGATTCTTAAGGCAAGCTATAGCCGGGTGGTGGTGCACACCTTTAATCCAGATACTCTGGAGGCAGAGACAGGTGGATCTCTGTGAGTGCAAGGCCAGCCTGTGAGTTCCAGGACAGCCAGGGCCACACAGAGAAAGCCTGTCTGAAAAAGCCAAGTTGTACACAGTTGCAGGGTTTTGAGAGGAACACTCAATAGATACCTGTATCATAGAAATTCAGAATGCTTGGTGACCCAGGCAGAGAGAAAGAGGAGAGGCCTTGGAGGGGGAGGAAGTGGAGTCAGGTGAGAGGCAGGGGTTGTCTAGGCTGGAGGAATAGTGAAAGTTACCTAAAGATGAGATTGGACACAGGACCTACCAGACAAACAGCTAAAAGAACATGGCATCGACAGGGAGTTTGAGTGGCATTGACCTAGAGAACAGGGCACTTGAGTTACTAGGCAACCGGTCAACAGCCTCAGGCAACACCCGAGCTGGGCCCTCCAGGGAATGTCATTTGCTGTTAATAGTGTCTGGGATGTGGGGAGATGGCCACAGGACCATAGATTGCTTAATGGGCAAGGGTTGACTTCCTGTGTTCTTATCTTCCTGTGTTGACAGAAAGTTGGGCATCCTTAGGAGGATGAATGGGCTGCTGTGCAGAGCAAGGGACATGGAAAAGTCATTGGGTCTCAAGTCCCATTAGGAGAGGGAAGAAGAATGTGAGAACTTTTGTCCAAACTCAGTACAAGGCAAAGAAAGGAACAGATACAAACTATGGGTGTGGCTCACTTAGCATTAGAGCTCTTACCTAGAATCTCCCAGTGAGGGTCTGGGGGTGTGGCCCAGTGGTAGAGCACCTGCCTAGAATCCCCCAGTGAGGGGTTTGGGGTGTGGCTCAGTGCTGGAGCAGCTGTCTAGACTCCCGGTGAAGAGTTAAGTGTGCATCTCAGCCATAGAGATGCAGGGCCCTGGGTTTCATTCTTGGCACTTCAAAAAAGAAAAAGCAGGTGCTGTCGAGCATACCTGTTATCCCATCACTAAGGAGGCTTATGCAGGAGGGTCAGAATTTGAAGTCTGGAAAGGGCCTGGCACCTGCTGATTCCAGGCTGGCCTAAGAACCCACATCATAACCCATTCTGGTCTCATCCTCCATGGTGCTGGGATGTCAGACGTGCTCTGCCAGATACCAGGCTGGCCCTACCTAACTATTAAGGAAGTTCTTCACATATATAGTATGAACAGACTCCTCATCAAATTGTGGTGCATCGTCAGCCCAAACCCCACCCCCACTGTCCTCCAGTCCCATTCCAGATAGCTTCACACTGGAATACAGTCAGTGAGGACAATCAGATAGCTGCTTGCTGACTGGTGCTTGACTGAGGTCATAAATATGAGCAGGGGGTGTCTGAAGAGAGGAGGATTCACTCAGCATCAGAAGACCTGAAGCCGAGAAGATAGGCAGGTGGCCAAGTGAAAGGCAGGTGATGTTCTCCCACAGAGCCTACCTAGTGGGGAGGATGGCTGTCAGTAAAGGGATTGCTGTGTAAGCGTGAGGACTTGAGTTTGCTCACCAGAGCTCCCATTTTAAAAGTTGGGTATGGTGTCACATGATTGTAACCTCAACACTGGGGAGGTGGGGGTGGGACTCACTCACTGGCCAGTTAGCCCAGCCTACGTGGTGAGTTGCAAGCCAGTGAGAAACTCTCTCCAAAACAGTAGTAGTAGTCAGGCATGATGGCGCACACCTTTAATCCCAGCGCTTGGGAGGCAGAGGCAGGCGGATCTCTGTGAGTTTGAGGCCAGCCTGGTCTACAGAGGAAATTCCAGGACAGCCAGAGCTACACAGAGAAACCCTTCCCCCTTTCTCCCCACCCCCAAAAAAAGGTAGTAGTTGGGCTGGTGAGATGGCTCAGGGAGGAAAAGGACTAGCCACCAAGCCTGACAACCTGAGTTCAATCCCACGTGATACAAAGAAAGAGCCAGCTCCTACAAATTGTTCTGAGAGCTTTACACTCGCAGTTTAGTACACCCACAACTCACTACGCAAGTAAATTAAAAAAAAAATGTTTAAAAAATGTGTTAAGGTGAATAGCATCACCAACCTTAATAACAACTAAGGTTGTCCTGGACCCCCCCCCACACACACACACACACAGGAAAAAAGAAATGGGTAAGAAAGGGAAATGTGATAATTCATACCTGTAACCCGTAAAAAGCTGAAGTTAGGGGATTGCTGCAGGTTCCAGGCTATCTTGGATCTGTGTGCAACCATGAGCACCTAGCACCCAGGCGTAGTATGACCTTTGCCTAAAATGCCCTGTAGTGGAGGTTGGGGGTAGAGAGGCAGGACATCACTGGGGTTTGCTGCCTGCCAGCTAACGAAAACAATGGGAGCTCCAAGTTCCAGAGACACCCTGCCACAAAGAAGTAAGGGAGGGTGACAAAGCTAGTACCCAACACCCTCCCCGGCCTCTGATATATACAGGCGCGAGCGTGGGTGTGCGTGTGCATGCGAGTGTGAGCACGCGCGTATGTGCGTGTCGGTCACACAAACACATATACAAACGGTAAAGGGAAGGAAACAGATCTGACCCTTCCTAATGCTGCAACCCTTCATTGGCTACTTCATAACTGTAATTTTGCTACTGTTTTAAATCATAATGTAAATAGTATACAGGATATCAGATATGTTGTGACCCACAAGTTGAGAACCACTATCCTAGAGGGTCAGGTGGGGTGAAGCTCACAGACACAGAGCACGCGGTGACCAGCGACAGCGACAGGTCCCTCTGTCTCCTCTGTCCTAAAGGTCCTCTCTGAGGCAGTGTGCATATTGAATTGAGATGGACATCCAACAGCTGGCAGGCCCCCTGGGACATGTCACTTCAACAACTTACTTATTTATACCTCATGTCCACAGAGGCCCTAGTTGCCGTCTGCTAGTGTTTATGCCCTCCAGACCAATGTGTCTGGTCTATTTCTGGAGTGTCCCTGCAGCCTTGATGGTAGCTGGAGTAAGTGTCTTGCCCATTCCTGTATATCAGGCTTTCTCAGGCAGCTGGGAGGCCCCATCCCTCCAGGCATGCACCTGTTTGAGCCATCTGGAAGCAGAGAGCTTCAAGGCTCTCTCTGAGGATGTGGGGCCCCTCTGAAAGAACCCCATAAGAATGCTGATTGACACTTACAAGGAGATGGTTTAGTGTTATCCTTTGAGGCAGTTGTATATTGTTGTTTGTCTAGATAATAGTTACAACAGGTGGCGGTGGCACACATCTTTAATCCCAGAACTTGGAAGGCAGAGGCAGGTGGATGTCAGAGGCCAGCCTGGTCTCAAAAACAATTACAAGTTGGCTGTGGGACAGACATGGATAGAGATGTCCCCAAAAAATCCAAAGAGGGCTGGTGAGATGGCTCAGTGGGTGACAGGAACTGAGCTCAGCAGCACCTACATGGTAGAAGAGGAGAAACTCCTCCTGCAGGCTGCCCTCTGACCTCTACATGTGCAGCACAGCCTGCTAATGTTTGCACAGACACAAATGGAAAAGGAAGGAGCCGGATGGGGTGTTGGGTGTGGTGTGACTGGTGACTAATCAGAAAATCAATGAGACAAGGGATGTTTGTCACCTAGCCCCAGACAGACATCTTCCTGAGGATTGGCTTTGTTGGTTGGTTGGTTGACTTCGGGGTTTGTTTCTGTATTAAGTATGTGCATGAATGCGCCTGTGTGGGGTTTATGTGCACCGTGCGGAAGTCAGAGGGAGTTGGGTCTGCTGGAGCTGGAGTTACAGGCAGTTGTAAGCCACTTGATGTGGATGCTTGGAACTGAACACGAGCCCCTACAGGAGCAGCAGGTGCTGTTAACCACAGAGCCGTGTCTTCAGCTCCTTGAAGATCAGATTTGTGACGTGTAATGTACAAATGTTGCTCTTTTAGCCAGTTGTGGTGGAGCACATCTGTAATCCCAGCCTGTAGTGGGCAGAGAACTGGGAGTTGCAGGTCAACATTGCTAGCATGAGTGATGAATGAGTTGGAGGCCAGCCTGGGCTGTCTTTAAAACAAAACAACAACAAAATCACCCCTTTTAGTGGACACTATATGCCAGAGAGTACACAGGGGACCTGATGATGTAGCTCCATGGTAGAGCACCTGCCTAGAATCCCCCAGTGAGGGGCTCATTTGTGACTCAGCGGGAGGTCTTCCAAGACTAACCAGATATTACTGTGTCTTTCTCCTCAGGTGCAAGTTTTTCAGTCTGACAGAGACTCCTGAGGACTACACCATCATCGTAGATGAAGAGGGCTTCCTTGGTAAGGGTCTCCCCTCACAAATCAGGCCACCTCCTTATTTCTTTTTCTATTTTCTTTGTTGCTTTTTTTTTTTTTTTTTTTTTTTTTTTGGAGAAGGAAGCTGTTTGGGATGTTTGGTTTTTTTTTTTTTTTTTTTTTTTTTTTTTTTTTGGAGCTTTGGAGTTTGTTGGCGATGGCTTTTTTTTTTACTTTTTACACTTCCTCCAACCAGGTCACACATACTCCAACAAAGCCACACCTCCTAAGTGCCACTCCCTTTGGGGGCCATTTTCTTTCAAACCACTACAAACACAAAGAACTGGGATTGTGGCTCACTGGTAGAGCACCTGCCTAGAATCCCCAACAAGAGTATAAAATCATGACTCAGGGCTTGGAAATGCCTTACCTAATAGTCCCTGAGCCTTCCACATGGAAAATCATACTCCAGGGATATCTATCCTTAAAAAAAAAAAAAATCAAACTTGTATGCTTTGATTGAGATGGTATCTGCCACTAAGGCATGGGGAGTCTCATCACTGGCCAAACAGCCTTGCATTCATTCATCAGGGACCTTGGGATCATTGCAGTGGCCCACAGAGTAAAGTTAAATGCCCATTTTACAGATGAAGAACCAGCCATCCATTAACAGAGTAAATTCAAGGCTAGCCAGGGCTACATGAGACTTCATCTTTAGACTGGAGGAATGGCTCAGGAGTTAAGAGCACTTGTTCTTGCAAAGGATCTGAGTTCAGTTCCCAGCATCCACATCAGACAGCTCACAGCCATCTGTAACCTCAGCTCCTGGGGGTCTGACACTCTCTTCTGAACTCCATGGGCATCCCCCGCACACATGGACACAGACACTTACATACAAAATAAAAATACATAACTAGGTCTGTGATGTTGTTGTTACTCTAAATACCTATGGCATTAACCACTGAACCTGAGTTCTATCCGCATGACCTACATGGTAGAAAGGGAAGACTGACTTCCACAGGTGGTTCTCCACCCTCCACATGTGTTGCCATGACACACAGGCCTGCATATACACATACACAGACACACAATAATAACTTTTTTTAAAGGTGTGAGCAATTAAGGAAGATACCAACTAGACCTCTGACCTCCACGCCGATGTGCACCTGTACATATAGAAAAGAATTCCAGAACTGAGCCAAGGCAAGGTCTGGGCAGGACCAAGGTTTGGGAATCTTGTTCCTGGAGAGACAGGAAGAAAAAAAACACACACACACAAAAACACTTACCTCATGGTGTTGCCCTCATGGGCAATAGGTAGTCAGAGAAGCCCAAGACCCAGAGATTAGCCCTCCTCTGGCTCCTCTTCTTTCTGTCTCTCCTATGAAGCCACAGTCCTCTCCATTCCTAGCTGGCTGACCACAGGCCCTTCTGAGTCAGCAGGACCAATGGGCTTCCCCTAGGCTGTGGTCACCATGGTGACCAAGCTAGGCAGATAGGATTCTGATAGACTTCACTCAACACCCCCTCCTCCCAAGCCATCTTTTCTGGAGGCTGGAGGCTGGCCTAGCCCCCTCCCCCTCTTATTCTCAAACACTACTCTCAACCCCATCTCTTTGGGGACTCATGGCTGCTTCCTGTTGGTCTTTTCTTCTTCTTTTTTTTTCCTTTCCTTGCTTTTGAGATAGGGTTTCTCTGTGTGTGGCCTTGGCTGTCCTGGAACTCACTCTGCAGACCAGGCTGGCCTCAAACTCAACAGAGATCCACCTGCCTCTACCTCCCAAGTGCTGGGACTAAAGGCATGTACCACCACTGCCTGGCTGACCTAGATTTTTCTTAAAGTTCACCAAGTTTGAATCTTTTTTATTTAATTGGTTTGTTTGTTTATTTATTTATTTGCTGGATTGTTTATTTTGAGGCACCATCCAATATATCTTAAACTGGTAGCATCAAGGATGACCTTGAATTCCTGATCCTCCAGCCCTTATTTTGTGCAGCCCTGGGGTTGGAACCCAGGGCTTTCTGGATGCTAGAGAGGTACTCTGCCAGGCCCTCTTCTTCAGGCCTTTTTTGTGTGTGCTTGGTTTTGTTTTTTTGTTTTGTTTTGTTTTTTTTAATTTGAGCTATAACCCAGGCTAGCCCGGAGTTCAAGCTGCTTCTGCTTCAGCCTCCCAAGAATCTTGGATTACAGGTGTTCAGTTCATCACTCCACTCCACCTGGCTTTGTCTTTGAATCTTGACCTGGTTGCTCCAGGTCTAGACATACTGAGAAAATTGCTGGTCCCTTTTAATCACTTGTGTGGAGTGCACAGGCGGGCTTCCTCTATGGGGTCCTTGGAGTGTGTATAGCATCAGAATCCACTTCCTGCCAGCTCTCTGTCCTATTCTGTGCCAGGAACAGGGTCTGGGGCCTTAGCAGGAGCCTGAGATCTTATGAAGAATCCTATAGTTGAGTCTCTGGGCTCATATCCACATAGATACAGTGTACATGATGCTGTATGATGTTTCCTGGGGAGATGGGAACAAACATCTCTTCATCCCAGATAGACCACCCACAGCAGACCTAAGACATGATTCCATACATGTCTACCTTATTGAGCCAGTAAGTCTATTGGGGTTATATACAGGAACATGGGTGAGTCAAAGGCAGCTATATCACCAAAAGCTCTCACACCCAGCAACTGTTTCAGGGGCTGAGTCTTGTAAGTTTCAGGATCTTCCTGAGTGCTATGAGATTTGGGGTTTGGGTGGTCTTGTTTGTTTGTTTTTTATCTTCTGTTTTAGTTTTTTCTTTTTGTTATTTACATTTGAAACAAGGTTGTTTTACATGTCCATCCCAGTTCCCCGCACCCTCCTGTCCTCCCCAATCACCCCCACCAAACCCCAGCCCATCCCCTTTCTGCTCCCCAGGGAGAGTGAGGCCTTCCATGGAGAGTCTTCCAAGTCTGTCATATCATTTGGGGCAGGGCTTAGGCCCTCCCCCATGTGTCTAGGCTGAGAAAGTATCCCACATGTGGGGTGGTCTCCCAAAGTCCTTTCATATACTATAAATACTGATCCATTACCAGAGGCCCCATAGACTGCCCAGTCCTCCTAACTAACACCACATTCAGCGGGTCTGGGTCAGTCCTATGCTGGTTTCCCTGCAATGAGACTGGGGTGCATGAGCTCCCCTTGTTCAGCTGATTCTGTGGGTTTATTTGTTTTGTTTTGGTGAGAAATGATCTCCCTATGTAGTCTTGGGTGTCCTGAAACTCACTCTACAGACTAGGCTGGCCTTGAGCTCATAGAGATCTACTTGTCTCTGCTTCCTGAGCTGAAAGCTGGGATTAAAGGTCAGTGACACCATGCCCAGAACCTCATGAATATTGTTGCTAGCTTCCTGGATTTTCCAGAACCTTCCTCCAAAAGGAAATATTTCTGTTTAAAAACATGGCTATGCTGGAAAGATGGCTCAGTGGTTAAGAGTACTGGGTGTTCTTACAAATATCCTGAGTTCAATTCCCAGCAACCACATTGTGGCTCACAACCATCTATAGTGGAATCTGATGCCCTCTTCTAGTACACACACACACACACACACACACACACACACACACACACACACAGCTACACAGCATTTGGGTGTCTGTAGCTCAGGCCCTGTCCCCTGTATCTCCAAGGAGTCCTCCTGGGAGACTGACCATGCTGGATGGGACCCAGGAAGGTGTCATTCAGGCATCTGGATTCAGGATTTTTTTCCAGATTAAATCAAGTATGCAGGTGTGACTAGCATGGTAAGAGCACATGACACCCAGAAAGGTTGAGAGAAGTAGGGATACATGAGACCTTGAGAAAGGTGGGGGGTGGTGAGTTGACTCAGCAGGGAAGATCACTTGCTGTGCAGGCCTGGTGACCAGAGTTCAGTCATGTAAAGACAGGAGGAGAAAGCCAACTCCACACAGTTATCCTCTGACCTCCACATACACACCTGAGCATGCACACCCACTCAAATACATCATGTCCACACATGCCTACACATGATAATAATAAATAAGGGGCTCAGAAGATGACTCAGTAGCTAAGAGAGCATGCTGCTCTTGCAAAGGTTCCCAGCACCCATAATTGCATGGCTCACATCCTGTCCTAGTTCTAGTTCCAGAGAATCAGATGCCCTCTCTTCAGGTCTTCAAGGGTAACTATATTCATAGGTGCACATGTGTACACATAACACACAGACACACAGTTAAAAATCAAATAAACTTTGAGGCTGGAGAGATGACCTGGCAGTTAAGAGCACTGGCTACTCTTCCAGAAGACCCAGGTTCCATTACCGGCACCCATGTGGTAGCTCATAACCATCTATAACTGATTCCAGCCCCATGGGATTCCCCTGTTTGGGGAATCTCCCCTACAAAGGCAATAGGTAAAAATGTGGTTTATAAGGCAAACATGCAGGCAAACACACACACACACACACACACACACACACACACACACACACACACACACACATACATAATAAAGGTGAGGGTTTTTTTAATAAAGACAAGAAAAATAAAGTCTTTAGAAACAAATTAAATTTTTCATTAAAGAAGTAGGAATTCTGGACTGGAAAGCTGGCTCAGTAGTTAAGAGGACCAGGTATTGATTCCCAGAACCCACATGCTGGTTTATATCTCTAAATCCAGCTCCAATGAATCTAACACCCACTTCTGGCCTCCACAGGCATCAGGCACACATGTGATACACAGACAAACATGAAGACAACATGCACATAAAATAAAGTAATAAATTACGTATTTTTTACCATTGTGAGCCTAGCCTTTAACAGCTGAGCTATCCCTCCAGCCCAAATTACATATTTTTAAAGAAAAAAGTAGCCGGGCATTGGTGGTGCACACCTTTAACCCCAGCACTCAGGAAGTAGAGGCAGACGGGCGGAGCTCTATGAGTTCGAGGCCAGCCTGGTCTACAGGGCAAGTTCCAGGATAGGCTCCAAAGCAATACAGAGAAACCCTGTCTCAAAAACCAAAGCAAGCAAGCAAGAAAGAAAGAAGTAGGGGTTCACAATGGTCGTACCAACTCCACAGTGGAGGAAACTGAGGCTGGAGACAGATAAAATAACGCGGCAAGTGCTTCAGGCCCCATTGAGATACCCCGCATATCATAAGCCATCCAGAACGTCACCTGCTTAGCCTTCCCTAGAAGGAAACTTTGAGCCCTCCTGATGATTAAATGAGGACACTGTAGACAGAGTTTCTGTCCCACCTGGTCCCACAGCCGTTTAACCCCAAGTAAACACAGCAGCTTCTATTAATTATAAACTGTTTGGCTGGTGACTTAAGCTTCTTACTGGCTAGCTCTCTCTTAATTATTAACCCTTAACTATTAATCTGTGTATTTCTACATGGCCTTATCTAACCAGAGAATGCCCAGCATTCTATCTTCCTGGTAGCTACATGGTGTCTCCTGGCAGCTCCTCTCCACCTTCCTCTTCCCAGAATTCTCCTCGTCTGGTAGCCCCGCCTATACTTCCTGCCTGGCTACTGGCCAATCAGTGTTTTATTCATCAACAAATAAGAGAAACAGAAGGGCATCCCCCATCACTCAGTAGTTAAAAGCACTTACTCTTGCAGAGGACTTGAGTTTGGGCTCCAGCTCCAGGAGCATCCAACACCCTCTTCTGGCCTCCTCAGCAGTTGCACTCATGAGCACATACCTGTACAGCATGAACATACAAATACATACATACATACATACATACATACATACATACATACGTAAAATATTTTTAAGGGGGCTGGAGAGATGGGCTAGTGGTTAAGAGCACTAGCTGCTCTTCCAGAGGACCTGGGTTCAATTCCCAGCATCCTCACAGCTGACTGTAACTCCATTTCCAAGGGATCCAACACCTTCACATAGACATAATGCAAGCGAAACACCAATGCACGTAAAATAAAAGATAAATCAATCATTAAAAATTATTTTTAAAAAAGAATATTTTAAAATGAGGAAACTGAGACCCTAGAAACAGGCAAGACAGTCTCTAGGGCCTCAACCAAACCACACACCTCTGTCCACCTCTCCAGCCAGGCCTGGCAACACCCAGGCCCCAGGCAGTCACCAACATCATCATCTGTGCCCCCTTTCCCCCTTGCAGAACTGCCCTCCTCTGAGCATCTGAGTGTGGCTGATGCCACTTGGCTGGCCCTGAACGTGGTGTCTGGTGGCGGCAGCTTCTCCAGCTCCCAGCCCATCGGAGTGACAAAGATTGCCAAGTCTGTCATCGCCCCACTGGCTGACCAGAACATCTCCGTGTTTATGCTGTCCACCTATCAGACTGACTTCATCCTGGTGAGTCAAATCTGCGGTGCGCACACTCCATAAAAGACTGGCTATGCACACGCCCAGCCTTCCCTGTGTAACACACACACAGACTGCTTCTAGCACACTCATTATCCTGTCTCATCTGCTGCTCTGCTCCTCACCTCAGCCCTGTGCACTCCCGCGGGAGGTGGGGTGAGCTGGGACTCAGGGGCTCTTGCTTCCCGCCCTCAGGTGCGCGAGCGTGACCTGCCCTTTGTCACTCACACCTTGTCCTCGGAGTTCACCATCCTTCGAGTTGTCAATGGAGAAACAGTAGCGGCTGAGAATCTCAGTATCACCAATGGCTTTGTGAAGCCCAAGATGGGTGAGTTGGGATGAGGGGAACACCCGCGGCAGAGTGCCCAGCTCTCAGTCTCCACCTGGTGTTCACTGGATTCCAGGTGGAGCAGCCAGCAATGGCCAGAGATGGCTCCCGTCTCAGCCCAGCTCATGGTCAGGTTGGCTACCTATAGCAGGGACCATGAAGTAGAAGCTTGGAGCACTGGGAGCTAAGCCAAATGGTGGCTGTTGGGAAGGACTTTCTCAGCAGCCGAGCAGCTTCTACAAAGGCCACGGTCCTGAAGGGAAGTTTGAGAATCAGTGCAGGGTGTGTGCTGGCCGTGAGAAACCTACATGGGCTGTGCTGAACAAAGTCTGAGGCTTGGTTCACCACTACTCTGGCCTTTTGTTGTTGTTTTATTTTTTGTTTTTCGAGGAAGGGTTTCTCTGTGCAACAGCCTTGGCTGTCCTAGAACTCGCTCTATAGACCAGGCTGTCCTCAAACTCACAGAGATCTCACCTGCCTCTGCCTCCCGAGTGCTGGGATTAAAAAGGGTGCGCCACCACCGTGCACCACCACTGCCTGGCTCTGCTCTGGCCTTAATACTTATGTCCTATGCTCTTCCAGTCAAGAGGCCAGTCATCCACCCATTATCCAGCCCGAGCAACAGGTTCTGTGTCACCAGCCTGGACCCTGACACACTGCCTGCCGTCGCCACACTTCTCATGGATGTGATGTTCTACTCCAACGGGTAGGTCCCTGGGGTGAGGTGCTGAGGTCCGGGGTGGGCATGGAGATACCACTCCACCCAGGAGCCCTGACTGAGGGCAAAGACCATACTCTACCCAGTCTGAAGAGAAACAACTGACCTACCCATAAGTCCAGTCTTCAGGAGGAGGCACATTCTGCCCAGGAGCCTAATCACAGATCTGCCCTAGCAACAAGTCTAAAGGAAGAGGTGTGGCTCCACCAAGGAGCCTATCTTCCTTAGGGTTTCTATCGCTGCGTCAAAAACATCATGACCAAAAAGCAAGTCAGAGAGGAAAGGGTTTATTTGGCTTACGCTTCAGCATTGCTGTTAATCACCGAAGGAAGTCAAGACAGGAACTCAAACAGGGCAGGATCCTAGAGGCAGGAGCTGATGCAGAGGCCATGGAGGGGTGCTGCTAACTGGCTGGCTTCCCCTGGCATGCTCAGCCTGCTTTCTTACAGAATCTAGCACCAACAGCCCAGGGATGACACCACCCACCAAGGGCTGGATGGGCTGAGTCGTCCCCCATTGAGAGTATGCCTTACAGCTGGATCTCGTGGAGGCATTTCCTCAACTGAGGCTCCTTACTCTCTGATGACTCTAGCTTATGTCAAGTTGACATAAAACTGGCCAGTACAGAGCCCAGTCTGAGGAGCGAGGCACGGTCCTACCCAAGAACCCAGACTGAAGGGGGAGGCATATGAGCCTATTGTCTGGCTTTTCCATTCTCTCCACCCTCTCTCATGTGTTTTGAACCTTGGTGGTGGGGTCAACAGTCTGTCAGCACTTGTCAGCCCAGGTAAGTCTATACGTTAACTGCTACTTAGTGGAGAAAAAATGCCTCTCTGGCTGTGGCTGGAGCGGGACTAGTCCATGAGTCTATAAATATCTAGAAGGCAAAAATAACAATAGGTTTTACACTAAAGCCTGTGTCACCTGAAGCTATAGGCTTTTGACCAGGTTTATGGTACATAGAAACGTGGTAATGTAAACATTAATTTTACATGCAAACATGAATTTCCTCCTGTGAAGCAGATCCTAGACTCAAGCAGAAAGTAGTTGGTTAACCCAGTAACCATCATGCCGCTATGGCACCAGAGGTCATCTCTTACCTGGCAGGTCAGTAATGTAGCATCCAAGGGTCTATGATTTCCTGAGTCACAGGCGCTGAATGAAAGCAAGACACAGGGCAGGATGACCCTTCCTGTCAGGCTGGTGGGTGACAGAGAGCATGGAGGATGTGGCAGAAGCCCCACCCTCACGCTCCCCCTTGATCCCCAGAGTGAAGGACCCCGTGGCTGCCAGTGACGACTGTGGCCACATTCGCTTCTTCTCCTTCTCGCTCATTGAGGGCTACATCTCCCTGGTGATGGATGCTCGAACCCAGCAGAGGTGGGCAGGGCCCTGTGTGGGTATTAAGGGGGCCTGGGCGGGAGCGTGGACTTCCTTCCTGGTCAGTCTGCCCTGCTCCCTTCATTAGAGATGTTCCTGTAGGTGCAGGAGTCAGCCAAGGCCCACAGCATGATGGTGCCAAAGTGGGTATTTGAACCATAGTCCCAGTGCCAGTTGTCCCCAGGGGATCACCCAGCGTTGCCTTCCCTCCTTGACCCCAGTGGGACTGATGTATCCTGGGATCCTGTGTCCTGTCCCACCTGAGGGACAGCCACTGTCACTCTGGCCCTACAATGCCCCTCTCATAAAGCAGAGAAGTTCCCCAGAGCTGGGGGAACACCAGCCTCAGATTCCTCTTACTTCCTCTAAAGGTTCCCGAGTCATTTGCTATTCACGAGTGCATCTGGAGAGCTCTGGAAGATGGTGCGGATAGGAGGGCAACCCCTGGGATTCGGTGAGCCCATGGGGTCCAACACCTGTATGCAGGGATCCACGCAGGCAAAACTGGGGTATCTGTCCAGCTCTACGCCCTTGTTGATCTAAACAGGGAGACTAAAGCTAACAGAGGTTAAATTCTCCTGACAGGTCCCTTGCCCATGGTGTGACAAGTATATGAAGGCCTCAGGAGACCAATGAGTGGACTTTATCAAAAGACTCTTATTTACCCCTCAGCTGAAAAATTAAGACATTGGGGCTGAGGGTGTGGCTCAGTGGTAGAGCACCTGCCTAGAATCCCCCAGTGAGGGGCTGGGGTGTGGCTCAGTGGTAAAGCACCTGCCTAGAATCCCCCAGTGAGGGGCTGGGGGTGTGGCTCAGTGGTAGAGCACCTGCCTAGAATCCCCCATGAGGGGCTGAGGGTGTGGCTCAGTGGTAGAGCACCTGCTTAGGCTCTAAGCACCTGTGTTTCCCTAGATGAGTGTGGAATTGTAGCCCAGATCTCAGAGCCCTTAGCAGCTGCAGACATCCCGGCATATTACATCAGTACTTTCAAGTTCGACCATGCATTGGTGAGTAGCCCCTTGGAACAGGCACAGACTGACTGTGCAGGTAAGGAATAGGTTCCTGAGCTAACACACTTTTTTTTTCTTCTTCTTCCTGCCCTCTAGGTTCCAGAAGAGAATATCAGTGGGGTTATCCACGCCCTGAAGGTCAGTCAAGGAGGGAAACATTAGAAAAAGCCCATCTCTGGGCTCCTCCCTGCTGAAGCCCACCTGGGCCTTTCCTCCCACGAAGGTTATTCTTGCAGTATTTCCCTATGGACTGAAAGATTGGCCCCGGACCCTAAGGAAGGGGCCTCTGGGACACTCCCCTGATTCCTGACTCCTCCAGACCTGGGCCCAAACCAAGGCCACCCCCACAGCCACCTCCAGCCTTCTAGAACCCCCAGCCTTTTCAATAATGACTCAGTTTCTCCCCAGTGGGGATGTGCCCATCTTCCTCCCCCAAGTTCCACCCCAGACCGTGGTCTCTGAGGCCCAGGGGGCTTGGAAACAGCCCAAGGCCGCACATATAGCCCACAGCAAACACCAAAGGAAGCTGGCACCTCCCACAAGACATTGGGATTGGGGACCCGATGCACCCAGGGACATCTTCAGTTGGTGGAGGAAGATTGGGTGTGCAAAGCTGGGGAAGCCCCCGTGAGGAACCCCCCCAGGATGAATGGTATGGTTGCTGCTCCAGTTTCAGAGGCTCAGGGGCTGGTTCCCTCAGGATGGAGGCCAGCAGGCCACCCTCAGGTCAATGTCCAGTGAGCCTCAGACAGTAGCTGTGGGCCCCCAACCACCAAGCTTGGGGGGGGAACCAAGACCCCAGAACCCACCTGCTGACTAAATGGGGCCTGGGTCAGTTCCCACTATGACTGCCAAGAGGGGTCCTGGGTCAACCTCCCACCAAGAGCACTCATCCCTGGAGGAGGAAGGAATCCCAGGACACCTCCTCTCCCACCAGCCTAGAGCACCAGCTTCTATCTACCCTCTGTTCGCTCTCCCTGGGCCCAACATGGGCAGTCAAAGACTCTGTCTCCTCCCAGCAATGGATATCCCCACCGGCCCAGGCCCAGAGTGCCTTGGGCCATGTCCACCTCCCCAGCTGTCATTTAGACAAGCCTAGAGTTCCCCCTTCATCCTCTTTACCCCACTTTTAGGGGACAAAGAGGCCTCAGCCCCCAGCTCACATACCTGCCCAGAATGCACCCAGCAGTCTGTGGCTGTGTTGCCAATAGGGAGGCAGCTATCTTGAGTATTTGTAGAGGTGGGGGGGGGGGGAGTCACCCTTACGGTTTTTTTTTTTTTTAATTTAATTGTTTGCATACAGGTGGCTGGGGAATGAGTAGTTTTGTCTGGAGGAGATAAGGCCTGTTAGAGTCTTATTTGGGTGACCAGGGTTCAGTGGCGCTTAGCAGTACCGCATTTACCCGGGGACAGACGCGAATGCAAAGATGTATCCTAAGAATCTTGGCCTTGTCTTCTGAGGAGGGTTATTAGAAACAGAGTTCTGGCACAAGACACCAGGACCCCCACAACACCCCCTAGGGGGTTCCCCAGCATATCAGAGGTGGTAAGAGCACCTGAGGACGGTACCATGAGCTGGGACTATAGGTCCAGAAGACTTAGGCTCCTGGGGTGTTTCCTTGGGCCTGAATCAGGCTATCTCCAACAAGATGAGAAGGAAATGTTTGTTTACCCCTGCACGGGTCTCAGTATGAACTGTGTTCCTCCCTTCTCCAGGCCACAGAAGCAACCCTAGATGGAGGATCTCTCTATTCTAGAACCCTATAGAAGCTCACAACCCAGCATGCTAATCAAAATTACCTCTGGTGGGGTTTGGTTTTTTAATTCCTTTTGCACAAAACAACCAAATCTTATCAATTGTTTTCTGGTCCCAGAAGGGAAATGGCCAAGTAGGCAGGGCCATAGTGAGGCCCCTGAGTCCCCTTCTTCTCACCCTGGAAGGCCTTGATTGTTCAGGGCACGCCTCTCTGTAACCCCTTCAGTCTCACCTTCCGGTTAATCCCTTCCCTTCCCACCGTGTAAGTGTGCTGGCTCCCTGCCCCAGAGTTGTGTGGCCCCCTAGGCTTGCTAGGATGAAACTGTATTGTACACACCTATAAATACGTGTTTTATGTTAATAGAGATATATTCTGTAAATAGCATATATACTTGAGCAATATATATGTTAATATATTCCGTGTGCGCAGGACATAGGCAAGGGCCCCACCTCATGTGCGCACACATGGGGACATTTGAGCCACCATATATTTTTAATTCACACATGTAGGCAATACAATGATTGGAAATGCCCTGGGGTCCTTGAGGCCAGCCTGGAGGGGAGACAAAACCACCAGCCTACTGCATCTGGAACAGGTTTAGAGGGCCAGCGTGGGTGGTTTGCTTTATAGCTACTGCACCCCCATTCCCACAGCCTAGAGCTTTGAATGCTCTTATTTTATCTGGGGGGGGGCACTGACCCAGGAGAGGGGTTGGAATTTTTTTTTTTCTTTTTTCATTTTAACAGTGGCTTCCTCCCTCAGGGTTACTCCAAAAACTGTCTGGTAAACCCATTGTGTTATAGCCTCCTACCCAGAGTCTCTTCTCTATAGAAAGCTGTAAGCCTGGCATCTTACCCAATTTATGGTTGTGTGTGTTATATGTTTTCTTGAGACAGGGTCTCTTTATATAGCCCTGGCTGTCCTGGAACACCCCATGTAGACCAGGTTGGCCTTGAATTTATAGAAATCTGCCTGCCTCTCTCTGCCTCCTGAGTGCTAGGATCAAAGGTGTGCACCACCAAGCCTGGCTGATTTTTTCTTTTTTTTTTTTTTTTTTTTTTTTTAATTCCTGCTAGTTTAGGAATCTCAGGTTCTCTCCCCTGCTCTCTTCCTAGGGCTGACTCCATAGGACCCAAAACACCACACATCACCCCAACTGTACATCCAGAGAGGAGCCGGGGCCTGGGTTCTGCCTGCCAGCCTTCCAAGGACCCCACTATTTAGCTACTGGTCCTTATGAGGAAGCTGGCTCTCTGTGCTGTGTGGAGCATTGGCATGGCATAGTCTCTACAGCTCTGGGGATGTGACAGTCCCCATTGAGGCCCTCTACCCTTGTGTTTTTAGTGCTGTCTCCCTGGCTTTATGAATGTGGGGTCACTCCAGCCCTTACTGACCCAGCCTCAGAGGTGACCTAAGTGGCATGTCGTTCAGCAATCAAGGCTCTCTAGGGGATTTTGTTTGTATTTTTCTGCACTGCTGAAGATTGTTAAGCAGGGCCTTGTGCATTTGAGGCAAGTACTCCTTGGAGCCACTCCTGGCTCCTAGCAGCAGGGTCTCTAGGCCGACATGGAGAGTAGGAGAATGGGGCTCTTCAGAAGGTGAGGCACTGGGAAACACACGCCCTGGGCAGGGATGGACTCCAGTGCTTTGCCTGAAAGACTAATTAGAAAAGCTCACAGTGGGGTATGGCTCGGTGGATAGTGTGCCCGCCTAATGTGCATGAAGCCCTGGGTTCAATTCCCAGCACTTGGGAGATGGAAGCAGACAGATCACATGTTAAGGCCAGCCTGGGCTACATAAGACAAGCCCCTATTCAAAAAAAAAAAAAAAGTCACATATCACCTCTCCACCAGAGACGAATGAAGTCATCTGGTGTCCCCTTTGATGGCTCAGTCCCACCGCCTGGAAATTACATGCTTCCCAAGAAATCTCCCGCAGACCCCAACAGCATTGCCAACTATATACTCCTTCCTCCACAGGGTCTCTAAAGACCACACGGGAGCACCAGTATTCACCCCGCCGCCCAACAGCTGCAGACAACAGTTTGCTCTTGTGATGGGTGGAGTCTAGGGGCCTGGTTTAGTCTGCTGCCAGTCAGGCCCTGTTGCTGAAGCAACCTGCTCAAGGCTGATGAGGTGTTCTCCCTGTAGCGGGAAGAAGGAACTGTGGAAGTCAAAAGTTAATCAGGCAGGTGGGAAGCAGCTAGTTCCTGGGCATGGCCAACCCCACTCCCTTTGTAAGGTCGTCAAAGAGCTGAGCCACATGCTACCAGCCATCTCTCAGCCATACTCCAGGCTCCTCTTGGCTAAGGCAACTCTGACAAAGAGAATGGAAGGGAGGAAGGGTCTGTTTTGACGGGATTACAGTCCATCATGGTGGAGGAGGAGTGACATCCACAGTCAGGAAGCAGAGAGAGATGGATGCTGGGGCTCAGCTCGCTTTCCCCTTGTGTTCAGTCCACCCACATTCAGGGTAGGTTTCTCCATTAATCCAGTCTCCCCGACAGACTTAAGCAGAGGTTTGTCTTCTAGGTGGTTCTAGATCCTGCCAAGACGAGTATTAAGCATCATAGCACACCCCTTGCCTTCCTGTGAGCAGAATTGGGTCAGCACTTGTTGAGGGGAGCCTGGATAAGGAAGGAATAGGGGGACTCTCCAACAGAGGTGGGATATAGCTTTGAGTTTCCGATGAGTATTGTGCTGAGGGTCAGAGTATAGTCTGGAAGGGTGACAGACCTCCATTTTGACAGGAGGGAAGCGAGGCCAAGATGACCTACCGCCGGTCAGCCTTGCTTTGTTGTGTGGAGCTGCTGTGGAGGAGTAGAGCTAACTTAACAGACTTAACCTTTTCATACATCTCTGCTTTCTTGTTCTTGTCCATTCCCTAATTTGAAGCAGCAGAAGGACACATTTAACTGATGCCAGGGTGACCTCCTCTGAAAGCTACTCAACTGGGGAAGGGGACTGAAGGCACCAGTTGAGATCTAGGCCATGGCGCCTGTGAGCATCAGTTTGGTGGTGTTTTATGGCACTCAATAGAAGAGCAGGCAAACTGGGAGAGTCAAAAGTGCGGGGTGGCCCTGTCCCGTGTGTCAGGATGCTCTTCTGTGTGGTTACATTTGTGTGTGTGTGTGTGTGTGTGTGTGTGTGTGTGTGTGTGTGTGTATTAGGCATGAGTGTGTGCACACATGTGCAGAGCTACAAGCTGTTTTCATGCAGTGTTTGGCCCCCTCAGCCTAACCTACTGCCACACACAGTTAACAAGGTTGGGGGGAGGGGGAGGCTGCAGGCCCTGGCTCTGAGGTGGAACGTGGGGTTGCCCTGATGGGATAGACTCCTTTCCCTGGTTCTCTGCATTCCTGGCCCTCAGAGGCCTGGGGAGTCCATGCAGGCAGCCTGAGCTGGCCCAGGCCCACCCATGGGACTCTTGAGACATTTCAATTTTGCAGACAGTATTCGTAGGGAGAGAGGCTGGAGACAAGAGGGGCCCCTTGCTTACCAGGAACTCATCTTGGAAAGGGGTCCAAAAAGCTAGAGACCCCAGCAATGGGCAGAATCCAAGCCTCTATGGGCAAAGCCTAACACGGTTTCCTTTTCTACTGCCTCGGTTTACCGGTATCACAGGAAGAGTTAGAGCAGGGTCAGTCCCCAAACAATAAATGGAGAGATGAAGTGTACCAGTAGGTTCTCCCAGCCCTCTCATATGCCAAAATCATTTCCGTTATCCTGAGGCAGGGGAGCAGGAGCGGGTGCCTGTGGGGTTTTTAAGGGACCCTGTCCTGCCCACAGCCCCAGCTGACCCTCACCTGGCATGTTGTGCCCAGGTCACCAGCAACAGTGGTACTTCATCGGTCCTGCAGCTTGGGTGAGGGAGGACTGGAGTCCTACTCTCCACCTCCAGGGCCTTCACGCTTTCGTTTTGTCAAAGAAACAAAACCCTTGAGAGTTGTGTACTGTATGATGGAGAGAAAAAAAGTACCTAATGTTCCCCCTAAAAAAGACAGTATATTTTGTACTTTGTAAAGTGTTCATTAAATGAAGGGGAAAAAAGATAATGTTGGCTGACAGTTGTCTGATTTTATATTGAATTTATCCAGGATCATGTCTCATTCTTTCCCTCCTTACTGTATTGTTTGGAGAACATAGGTCATGGGCTGAGGAGGCAGGATAACCCACAGGTGTAAGGCCTTGAGTCTCAAAAACTGGCGGAAGTGGGGTTTGTGTCAGATACCTGATGCTGTGCAATAAATTGCCCCAAGCAGTGACTTAGAGTGATATATACCTGTATTAGTCAGGAGGACATCCATATGCATAAAATAAATAAAGCTAAAAGGAAGAATTGTGTGTCCTAGCTCAACGTTTCGGGGGTCCACTATGTAATCATGGACCTGAGTGAGGTAGAACACCATGACAACAGGAACTTGTAGATAAGGGATTGTTCACAGCATCCAAGAAGCAGAGATGGGAACACAGGAAAAGACCAGGGCAAGCTATAACATCTTCAGTGACCATCTTCCTTCAATAAAGTACCAACTCTTATCTTTTACCACCTCCCAATAATGCCAACAAATGGTGAATGCATCAAGCCATGGATCCATTAATTAGGTCAGAGTCTTCATGATCTAAATGTTTCTGGACATGTCATCATAGAAACAGATAGGAATGTTTGCGAACCTAGACAACTCTCAATCCAGTCAGCCCCCCAGTACCCACACAATGGCCCACAACTGTATTCCAGTTCCAGATCTGATGCCCTCTTCTGGCCTCTGTGAGTACTGCACACATGTGGTGCACATACATATATGGACAAAATACTAAAAACCTGCAAAAATAAATTTTTAAAAAAATTAAGGGGGGTCTGGGAAGATTGTTTAGAGGTTAAAGAGCCTTTGCTATTCTTGCAGATGAGACAGGTTCAGTTCCTAGCATTTAATAGCTCACAATTTTCTCTAGCTCTGGTTCCAGCAGATTTTATGCCACCACCTGGCTTCTTGGCCATTATACAAAGATGGTACACAGATATACATGCACGTAAAACACACATACACATAAAAATAAATTTTTAAGAGAACAAGAGGACACCTGGAAAGAGGCAGGTGACTGTACCTTTGCCTAGCGTTATCGTTCACGTGCTCACTAAAGCGAGAGGACAAGTCATATGTAAACCTTTCATGGGAACAGAATGAGCAGCCAAGATAATGGCTCAGCAGGTTTTCCAGGTGTCATGTGCTGGGCAGGGAGGGTAAGGACCAAAGAGACAAACACCAACAGCCACGTACAGATGGCAGCTGAGCAGAAGCCCTGGTGTCACCCAGAGGGGCAGAGGGGCAGAGGGGACAGACGCTGCATGGCGAGGCTGACCAACAGGTGAAGCGGTCTTTAGGGAAACTTAAGGGTCAGGACACCCCTCTTAGACACAGGTGACTATGGTCAGGGTGCTTTTTAGTTCGTTAGGACAGAGTCTCACGTATTCTAGGCTGACCTCAAACTCAATGTGTAGCCAAGGGTGACCCTGAGCTTCTGGTTCTCCTGCCTGCACGCCTGCCACTGCCAGTTACCAGAATGTGCCACCACATCCTGTTGGTGCAGTGCTGGGAATCAAACCCAGGACTTTGTGGACACTACAATCAAGGACCCTACCAGAGCCTAGCCCCCTTTGTTTTTCTAAGGACTTTTTACATTAAAGACATCTTTAATTGTGTGTGGTGATGGGAGCATGTATGTACACATGCATACAGATGCTTTGGGAAGCCAGGAAAGGATGTCAGATCCCCTGGAGCTAGAGTTACAGACATTTGTGAACTGCCTGATGTGGGAATTGAACTCAGGACCTCTGGAAGAGCAGTAACTGTTCTAAACAACTCCTTAGCTTCTCAACTTCTGTTGCAAGTTCACAGCAAATTTTCCCATCTCAAGCCTAATACTGGCCCTTAGAGGGAATCAGGGGCGGTGTGCGCCTGAGTGAGGGGCCCTGTAACAGCCATGACGGTCATTTCCTCCAACACCAGCCAACTGGTTCCCTTGACATTCTGCTTGTTAACCCTTCAACTTTAACCTGCAGCCTTCCACACATCCCATTCCCTTGTTAGGGTTTTAATCTGAAGTGTCTGCCTTGGGTTCCTGTGCTGAATGCGTGCTCCACAGCAGGTGGCACTGTTCTAGAAGACTGGAACCTTTTAAAAGACACAGGTCGCTGGGGGGTGGTCCTTCAAGGCAGCAGTCCAGTCCTGCTCCTTCCTGACCTGCCATGTGGGAGGCATCTATCACAAGCACCAACCCCCAGAAACTGCCTTCCCTGCCATGCTGGACTGGAACCCTCTGATCTGAGAGCCAAATTAATCCTCCTTTAAGTTGTTGCTGTCAGGTATTTGAAGCAAAACTTTGCTTTCCTCCACAGCCCACACAAACAGCTACCATATTCTATATTCTGTATAATGTCCATTTTCTTCCTCAAGGATAAGCTATGCAAGGCAGGGATTTCTCTACCTACATGACTCGGTGTGCCTCATTCCTGCACTTAAGGGGCCCACGGGTACCTGTGGAGTGAACTAGTAACAGGTGGGGTGTACAGGCAGCGTGGAAGATCGTAATTAGTGACTCAGGCACCAGCTTTCTTCCCAGCCCAAGAATCTGTTCAGAAAATACTTTCCAGTGGCTAGGGGGATGACTCAGTGGGTTAAGTGCTTGTCTGACAAGTTGACGACCAGAACCCATGTAAAAGGCAAGCATTGTGTCATATGCCTGTAATCCTGACACTGGGGAGATAGGAAACAGGAGGAACCCTGGAGCTCTCCAGCCAGCCAGATGCCTTCTTGGAAACTTGCAGGTTGGGAGAGATCCCGTGTCCGAACATAAGGTGGAGCTGGGTGTGATGGAGCACACCTTTAGTCCCAGGACTCTGGAGGCAAAGGCAAGCAGAACTCTGAGTTCAAGACCAGCCTGGTCTACAAAGTGATGTCCTCCATCTCAATAATAAGATGAATTGCACCTGAGGAATGATGACACTTGACACTGTCCTCTGTCCTCTACATGAATGCACACCCATGTGCACATGCACACATACAACTGCACACACACAAAACATCCCATCTGGGACTGCCTTCCAAAGTGTTTTCCACTGGCTTCTATTTGCTGTTTTTATGGTACAAAATGATCAAGTGAAACATTTACAAGACCTCCATTCTTAAAAAGAGCAGAAATAGACTTTATTCCAAAAGAATTTTTCAAACACTCTTCTGAAAGGAAAACACAAGCTTTCCTAACAAGTATTTTCCCAGTTTTTGAGGCTTCCTACTCCAAGGCTGGCCCTCCAGCCAAGATTCCACAGCCCTCAGCCCACAAGCATTTGGCCTATAGCTTCTTTCTTCGGGGGCTTCTGGACTGTTCAGAGCCAGGCACAGAGGAGGTTCCAAGGCTGGGATACTGTAGACCCATGGGGGGAGGCTGGCTCACACTGGCCGCCCCAGGAAGTCTCGAGCCAAGGCATTCTGGGCTCCCGGACTGTGTCCTGGGAACTTGTGGGGTGGCAGCTGGTCAGACAGGCCCTAGCTGAAGTCAGCTGGCTGTCTTGCTGGGCTGGGCCAGCAAGAGGCCCAAGTGTGTTGTGTTGTGACAGCAGACTACAAGTTCTCTGAGTGCCTTGTCATGTCTCCAATCTCTTATTATCAAATGTGCCCTGAATAATGAACTTCCCTTAGAAACAGGCAAGACACATCCCCAGATGCCACCATGTGTCACCTGGAAAGGGCATCAGCCTGGCCATCCTAGGACCTCACACCCTGGTAATCCTGAGGAGCACACCAAGCCAAGAGCAGCCATCCTGAACTGAGTTCACAGCCAGGAGCCTCAGCGGGGAAGGGTCTTTTCCACAGACTGCTATTATAATGTCCCCACTGAAGACACAGAGTAAACACCCTGCTCCAAGGGCCCTGGCCCTCTCCCAGTATCATCAGAAGCTCTGTGGTAGCCACTCTCTGCCTCCATCAAGCTGTTGCTGTCGGTATAGTTGGAGGCTGGGGCCAGCCTGGGATGGGCCTGTCAGGAAATTCAGATGAATGACTTGGCCAGAGTTACCATGTGATCCACACCACATGCCACATCCACAGGCTCACCGGGCATTGTCACCTGGAAAACAAGCCACAGAGCTCAGTGAGGGGAAGGGCAGGCAGGTTCTGGGGAGACAGGGACTTGTGTAACTCCGATTCTCTGTGTAGCTGAGGCTGACCGTGAATCTCTGATCCTCCTGCCTCTACTTCCCTAGTGCTGGGTCTACACATATGCAGTACCACACCTGCTTTAAGTGGTAGTGGGGACAGAACCTAGAGCAAGCACTCTACCTACTGAGCCTCACCCTCAGCCCCACCTTTGGTAGGTTCTTTGCCTTCTGTGAGTGTGGCTCTATCCCCTGCAGACAGGCTGCCCACACATATCCACAGCTCAGTGTCAGGAAAAGGCCACTCTACCTCTCTGTCCATCAATGGCATCAGCTCTAGTAGCCACCCTAGAGAGGTGGCCCTGGGGAAGAACACAGATGCTCCTGGTGCCACTGTCTGTGATAATGGCTTTCAGATTCCCTGCCTAAAGGCTTAGTGTTCAGTGACCTCCCTGGGGGGGGGGGGTCACTAAGTACTTCCCAAGCGTGCAGGAAAGGCTTCTGCCTGGCGGGTCTAGTGTGGGAACAGGGCCATGCTGGCCCAGTGACTTCCGTCACTTTACCTGTTGACCTCACTTGCAGTCACAGGCTGGATCCCATGTGTCCCTAACATGGCCACCTGAGAGGCAGAGTTTCTGCTATATCTCAAAAGGCATTAGGGCCTCATCACAGACCTAGCCAAGCTGCCTGTCTAGGCCAATCTTTCTCCCAGGAAGACCCAGCCCTCATTGCAGCAGGAGGCTGGCCTCCTTCCCCACCTCAGCACTGGAATCTGTTCACCTCCAGAGAACACTCACTGTTTTAGAGCCTTCCCTGCCATGGACACCCGTGTGTGTGTGTGTGTGTGTGTGTGTGTGTGTGTGTGTGTGTGTGTGTGATGTCGTGTGTGTGGTATGTATGAGTATATTGTGTAGTATATCTCTGCCTATGTGGTATACATGGAGGGTATACCTGTGTGTGATGTGTGTATATGTGAGATGTGTGTGGAAAATGTACAGTGTGTATGTCAAATGTGTGTGTGGAATGTGATGTGGTATGTGTGTACTATGTGCAGTGCAGTGTGTGTAGAATGAGGTGTGTAGCAAGCGTGCATGGAATGTGGTATGTGTATGTGGAATGCAGTGTGTGTGTGTGTGTGTGTGTGGTGTGTGTGTGTGTGTGTGTGTGTGTGTGTGTGTGTGTGTAAACCAGTGGCTGACCTCAGGTGCCTTCCTCTAGCACTCCCTACCTTATTATCTGAGACAAGGTCTTTCAGACAAGGTCTGAAATCATAGAGATTATGATTTCAGATACACTGGCCAGACAACAAGCATCCAAGATCTGGCTCTTCCACTGTTAGGGGACTGAGGTACAGACTATACCGTGGAGCAGAGCTTTTTCGTGGGTGCTGGGGATCCAAACGCAAACCTTCATACTTACACAGCAAGCACTTTACCCACTGAGCCATCTCCCCAGGCCCCTTCTGTTTGTTTTAGAGATAGGATGTCACTATGTAACCTTGGCTGGCCTGGAACTCACTGTGCAAGCCAGACTGGCCTTGAACTTATAAAGACTACCTGCCTCTGCTTACTGGACTTAACGGTGCCACTACACTGAATTGCTCCAGTTTTTCAGACAGGGTCTCATTACATAGCCTAGGCTGGCCCAGAACTTGCAGTATTCTCCTGCCTCAGCTTCCTGAAAGCTAATTTCTTTTTCTTTAATCACTGTTACTATTATCATAGTAATGTATTACTACTATGATACATACATTGTAATAAGCAATGCTATACTGTAAAAGGGCATTCCGTGGAAAACGAGCATGGCTGGGAACGTAGCTCGATGTGTAGAGAGCACTTGCCTTGCAAGCATGAGGCCCAGGGGTCTATCTCCAGCACCCTATAAATCAGGTACGGTGGTTCACACCTCTCATCCTAGTGCTTGGCAGGTAAAAGCAAAAGGATTAGAAGCTCCTCACTACACAATGAGTTTGAGGCTAGCCTGGGCTACATGAGTCCCTGTCAAAATAAATAAATTCCCAGGCGTTAAGTACCTCCTAATAACTCCATCTCCCTATGCCCTGCTCCCAACTGAGAACTACTTAAATCAATGCAGAAGGGCACATGCCAGCCTTGTGGCCTGCATACCCTCACCCAGATGTGGATGCGGGATCAGCTAGCCAGATCCCTATTCAACCGTCCTTCCCTGCTGGCAGCTGCAGAGAAGCTAGGACTGCCTGGGCAATTTCCTGAGTTGAGGACAGAAACGAATGCCTGCAACAGGTGGCCCAGCCTGAAAGCACCAAAGTGGCAGGTGCTGACTGTGGAACCTCAACTCCATTAGGGGCTGCTGACGACAGCAAGTGAAGGCAGGAACCACGCCATGCTGTTTCACCGCCTCCCCAAACAAAACACCTTGGAAAAAGCTGCCACACAGACCACTGAGCAAACAGAAATGGGCCCCTGGTGACAGAGGCAGCCTAGAGCTGCAGAAGCTGCCCCAGAAAAGCAGTGACAGGCTGCCCTATGATGACCTAGCCAGGTGGGTTCTTAGCAACCTCCCAGGCCCCTTGAGATCATCTATTTACCTTCCCTGGGAAAGTGCCTTGCCATGATCATCTACAGCCAGCCCACTGCACTTAAGCGCCTCTGTGCTGTTCCCCAGATGTTCTGGCCATTAGAGCCCAAAGCACAGGAAGCTGTTTGGTCTCTGCTTGCTGGCCAGGACCTGTGGGTCTCATGTAGCACAGCTGGCCTCAAACTCATGTATCTGAGGATGACCTTGAACTTCTGATTCTCCTGCCTCTGCCTCTTGTGTCCAAGTTCTGGGGTTACAGGCGTGCTCTACCACTCCAAGTCTGTGGGGTGCTAGGAATTGAACCCATGGTTGCTTTCATGCTGAGCAGTCTTCTGTTTGTATGTTTCTTAGAGACAGAGAGATGAGAGAGAGGAGGGATATCTCTCTATGTAGCCCAGGCTGGCCTGATTCTTCTGCCCCAGACTTCCAAGAGGCTAGGATGGCAGGCACGCACCATCACACAGATCCATCAAATGAACAGACCTGAATCTGGCTTCACCTATGACTGCTACGTGTGACCTCATGGGATCCGCCTCAGGTCTCACAGTTCACTCTGCAAGAAGGGCTGTGCTATGGGAGCCCCACAGTACCCTATGGCTATGGTTTGGATCTCAAGTGTGCCCTAAAGGGTCTGTATTGAAAGCTTGATCCCCAGCTCGGTGCTCCTGGAAATGGCAGAACTCTATAGGGGCAGGGCCTACTGAAGGTAAATTAGGGATTGGGGATGCCTTAGACTTCCCATTGCTGTGACGAAACACCACAACCTTAAGCAACTTGGGAGGAAAGGGTCCATTTGGCTATGCCTCCATGTCTCAGTCCATCACTGAGGGAAATCAGGGCAGGGGCCTGGAAGCAGTACCTGAGGCAGAAGCTGTGGAGGATGCTGCCTACTGTCTTGCTCAACCTGCTTTCTTATGCACCCAGGACCACCAGCCCAGATGTGGCATTACCTACAGTGACTAATTTAAACAATGCCCTATACTATCTTATGGAGGCATTTTCTCAGTTGAGTTTCTTTCCTCTCAGATGACTCTAGCTGTGTCAAGTTGACAAAAATAAATAAACAAGCAAACCCTAGCCAGCATAGGGAGCATGCCTTTGAAAGTAATGAAAGGACCCCAACTAATGATAGGACCTCAACCCCTTTCCACCCCTTTGATCCCAACCTCCACGAAGCAAGCAGCTTTACGTCACATGCCCCCTGCTATGTTGTACTGCCCTACCAAAGGCTCAAAGCAAAGGGGTCAGCGGACCCCAGCTAAAGCTTCTAAAACCAGGGACCAAATGAAACATCGCCTCTGTTAAGTTGATGAGCCCAGGTACTTTGTGACAAGAATGAAAAACTAATAAGCCTGTCAAGCCCTCTCTTTCATCTCATCGAAAGGTGACAAAGGACAATGTAGTTGCCTGGCATGCCAGGCATGTAGTTGCCTGGAACCCTTGGGGCCCACCAAATGTCCAAGATGCAGTAGTCACTAGGGCAGACAGGCTCACCCCTTCAACAGGGCAGCGCAGCGCAGGAAGTCCGCAGCCAGCAGGATGCCATTCCTCTAGCTGAATGAGTCAGAGCAAGAGGTGCATGCTGAGAATGGAAGCATGGTTCCAGCAGCCTAAACATGGAATCTTAGCCTGAGGCTATGCTTTGCCAAGTCCCCTCAGCAGATAACCAGCTGTGACAGTTAATTTTGATTGTCAACATAGCAGGCTCTGGAAACACCTAGGAGACACAGCTCTGGCCATGTCTGTAAGGGAGTCCCTAGGTTGGTTTACCCCCACCATTCCCACTGAATGTGGGCGGCATCATCCCATGGCTTGGGGTCCTGGACTGAATCAGTGGGAGAGAGTGAAGATGGTGGTGGTGGCGGCGGCGGCGGCGGCGGCGGCAGCGCACACCTTTGATCCAGAACTTGGGAGGCAGAGGCACGTGGAACTCGGTGAGTTTGAGGCCAGCCTGGTCTACAGGGTGAGGTCCAGGACAGCCCGGACTCGAAAAGAAAGGGGAAGTGAGTTGAGCACCAGCGTCCATCTCTCTCTGCTTCCTGACTGTGGCTGTCACGTGACCAGACACCTCGTGCTCCTGCTGTCATGGCTTCTCCACCATAAGGGACTGCGCCCTCCAAGTGTGAGCCAACAGAAACCCTTCTTCCCTGAGGCTGCTTTTGTCAAAGCAGCACTCACGGGTAGGTGACAGGCCTGTGGAGCACTTGTTACTCTAAGACCCAACTGTTTCCACTATTTCCAAGGCCACACTCAAAAGAAAAGAGGGCAAGCAGGAGAGAAGGGGGCGGGGATGCGGGCTCTCCAGACCAAACCAGCAGTAGTCTGCAGAGGAGTCTGCATGCACATGTGGGCTCCTATACACGTTTGCTTGAAAGATTGGGTTTTGATAATGTTCCTAAATTACGAAAGGTATTTCTTTCGTATTGTTCTTTGTTTTTTTGGACTGGGACTCACGAAACTCAGGCTGGCCTCAAACTGGCCATGTAGCTAAGGATGGCCTTGAACTTCTGATTCTTCTACCTCTACAAGTGTAGTGCTGGGATTAAGGGTGTGGGCCACCCCACTAAGTTTACGTGAAGCTGGGGATGGAACTCATGGATTCATGTGTGCTGTGCTAATTAATACTCTACCAACGGAGCCCCATCTCTGGCCCACCTGGTAGCGTCTCACAGGGACTGGAGCACTGAGTAGGTGCAGCGAACTGACTGCATGGAGCAGAAAGGCTGAAGGCATGCACACTTGGAGGCTGCTGCTACATCCACCCCCTGCCCATCACCTCCATGTAAGCCTCCATGGAATCTATCCAAGACAGTGGCACACGGTAGGTCCCAGACTCTGTCCTGCATTTGGTTTTACTTCCCCTGGCACACCCTCCTACAACCCACCCCTGCATGGTCTTACCCTCCACAACCCACCCCTGCATGGTCTTACCCTCCATGGGAAGTACTGGTCTTCGAGGCGTCCGATTCCCAAGCACCCTCGGATATTCTTGCCCCACACAAACAATTCACCCTTGTCTGAAATGGAAGGAAGACAGGGACTTGGTTTGAGCTACACAAGGAACAGGCCATCAAGAGGAAGACCTTCCAAGAGCCAAGGATGTCAGGCAGTGGTGGTGCAGCCTTTAATCCCAGCAATTGGGAGGCAGAGGCAGGTGAATCTATGTGAGTTTGAAACCAGCCTGGTCTAGAAGAGCTAGTTCTAAGACAGGCTCCAGAACAAAACTCAGCCTCTGAACTGAATTCTCAGAGAAAAGCCCCTTAGCAATTGTTCCATCCCCAAATCAGGTCCTAGGCCAGGCCTTCTGACAGCCAGCCTAGGGAAGACAAGTCTTTGTGTGGAACAGAGCCCAGGGCTCCGTGCACAGCCCTCTCTGCTCACTTTGATGGCCTGCTACCACCCACAGCTCCATCTGACCCAGCTCTGCCCTTTCTGACTGACAGTGAGGCAAGATGGCCAGTTCTGTTTGGGTTTCAGCATGTGGGTTTTCTGTGAGGACACAGAGAGCAACTGGGTTCCGAACTAAGACGGGTCTATGTCTATGCACTGGACACTGGGGACAGGCCAGCAACTGAACAAATATGTTTCCTGTCCTCCCTCATAAACTAACTTCACCTGGTAGAAGAGCCAAAAACGAACAAACCAATAAAGGCAACGATTACACCTTGGAGAAAGTGCTTTACTGCTGAGCCACACTCCTCACTGGCAAAGTCTAGGCAACTAGTCTAGTGAACCATGTCACCAGACCCTCTCACTGGGGGATTCTAGGCAGAGATCTGCCACTGATCCACACACACCCCAGCCCCTCATTAGGAGATTCTAGGCAGGAGAGATCTACTGCTGAATCATACCTCAAGTCAAAACAGACTTTTTTTAGTTTTAGAGAGCAGCTCACTATAGAGTCACAAATGGAACTTGAGAGAGTGAAAGGAGCCATGCTGTTTTGAGTTAGGCATGGAAGTCAGTTACATGGCAGACTAAAAGAACCAGAAAAAGTAAAATTAAGACTCTGGTGAGAAGAAAAAAAAGGAAAATTAAGCTTTTCTCTGAAGACTTTTGACTGGCAAGGAAGCAGCAGATTCCCTGGGAATCACTAGTGGCATGTTCACGGAAACTGCTGTCCAGGACTGCAGAGCAGCTGCCTGAACTGAGGCGTGGTGGTGGAACATGATGAAAAAGGCCACGGTCCAGACACCTGTGGAACAACTTGGCATTTCATGGCTCTACAACCTGTCCAGTGAGCCTCCAGCCAGCCGCCTCCGTGGTCATCCCTCCCCAGCATCTTGGAGGGTCTGAGCTTCACTACTAGCAAGGTAGGCCACTTGCCACCCTGTACACTCATCTCCCCATCACTCACCCACACATGGCCCAAACCTCTCCTCGTTCTCACTGGCTTTCTACCAAACCCGTCTCCCTACACACCCTGCAACAGGTGCCCCCTAAGAGATCACACTACAGCGTAAGCCTGGCCACAAAACGAAGAACCCAAACCAAAATGTCAGCATAAAAAGAAGGTATGTGACATATGACACATACCCTCTGCTTATTCCATGAAGACATCAATCTACTGGATGGACAGATGGAAAGAAGGACTGATGGAGGAAGAGAGAAAAGAAGAGAGGATGGATGAATAGAAGGATGGACAGAAGTAGACAGATACAGACAGATGGTAGAATGGAGGGAAGGACAGACAGAAAGATGGGTGAAAAAAAATGGATGGCTATAAATGGATATAGGTTGGAGACAGAAGCTGAGCACTGTCCCAGTTTGAAAAGGAACAGATTTTGGCCTGGCTGCCCAGCAGAGTAACTTACTGGTGAGTGCAGCAAAATGGCTAAGCCCACATCGGATCTGGGAAACCTGGACATGGGGGTTGAACTCCGTCAAGCCAAAGAGCGTAGGTGGAATCATTTCTGGAAGAGCCGTTTCCAAGAGGTTTGGTCCTTTCCCAAGAATTCCATAGCCCCAGACGAAGATCTGTCCTTCTTCTGTGTTATAACAAAAACAGTGGTTGTGAGTCAAGCCAAGCAGAGCCCTCCCTGGCTACGAAAACTACAGGGGCTGGGGTGGGGCTCAGTTGGTAGAGTGCATGCTTAGCAAGCATGAAGGCCTGGGTTTCATCCCTAGACCACAGGAAACGGGCATGGTGGAGCATGCCTGTAATCTCCCAACTCAGGAGGTGGAGGCAGGAGGACCACCTTGGGATTTATGAGACACTCTGTGCTAGCAGGCTGAAAATGATTCTCTCCCCTGACTAAATACTTGCCAATGGAGTCTTGCTAGGGAGGAAGCCAGTCTCAGAACAGGAAGAACCCACTTCTTGAGGGTAATGGGGGAGGGTGACTGGCACACAAAACGTTGTGGACACTTTCCCCACCAACAGCTCCAAATTTCACACTGAGCAGAGCGCCACACAGACACAGGCCATTTTAACCAAATTCTTAAAACTTTTAGAAATGAGCCAGGTGGTGGGGCACACCTTTAATCCCAGCACTCAGGAGGCAGAGGCAGGTGGATCTCCGAGGGCAAGGCCAGCCTGGTCTACAAAGTGAGTTCTAGGACAGCCAGACCTTGTCTCAAGAAAAAAGAAAGAAAAAAAAAAAAAAAAAAAAAAAAACACACACACACACACACACACAAAACACAAAAACAAAACTCTAAGAAATACTTTTTAACTTGCTTTTGGGGGAGTAGAAGTTTGGGGGTTTGCTATGGGGTGGTTTGCTTTTGTTTTTTAGATTTGTTTTATGTGTATGAGTCTTTTGCCCAAATGCATATCTGTGTACAACATGGGTGCCTGATGGCTGAGGAAGTCAGAACAGGGTATCACATTCCCTGGACTAGAGTTAGGGGTGGCTGAGAACTGCCATGTGAATGCCAAGAATTGAAGCTGGGTCTTCTACAAAATGAAGTGTTCTCCAGCTCCAGGTGTTTTAAGACATAGTCTTACTACATAGTCTAGGCTGGCCTGGAATTTATAATCCTCTACTTCGGCCTCCTGAGTGTTGGGAACCAAAGACAAGCATCTCAATGTCCAGTTTTCTTTTCTTCCCTTCCCCTTTCTACTTCTTTCCTTCCTTCTCATCACACCCCCCCCCCTTCCTTCTTTCTTTTTGATACAGTGCTCAGGACAGTATCTGGCTCTTCAAGCATAAACACTTTACCACTGAACTACTACTCTGCAGCCCTAGCTGTAACAAGTACAATACTTCTGTTAGGGGTGGAGCACGGAGACAGAGCAGCTTTGTCCTGCATAAGCCCCTAGGCATGTGGCTCAGTGGCGGAGCACCTGCCTAGAATGTCCCTAGTATGCACAGGGACTTGTGTCTGGTCCCCAGCTCCAAGATCCAGAGGTTTGCTATAAAATGACAAAGCTCTGTGGCTGTCTATATATAGAGATCATGAGCTACTAACCTGCTAGGAATCTCACCCCTACACCTTAATCACTGAATGCCTTCAACTAGATGCTCCCATGGCCACACCCCCCTCTACAGTGTAGGAATATGGAGCACAGGAACTGTCCTCTTCCCTATCTGATCTGCCCAATGCTTCTCAAAGAGCTGCCAAGAGCTGGCTCTCACCATTCAATACAGCACAGCCAGTGCCACCACAGGCCACCTGCTTCACCTTGCCTACTTCGGAGAAAGGCAGGCACCGAGGGACGTTAACCTGCACCAAAGAAAAGGGTGGGAGCAATTAGGAAACAAAGGAGCCAGAAGCAGGAAGAATCCTTGGCTAGTGTGCCAGCTCACTATTAACTCCACAAAGGCTCCAGTATCTCACTCACTAAGCTTCCTAACCAAGGGCTCAGGGCACAGGAGGGAGCCAGAGGGGCCCAGTGCCCACTCTTCTGGGAGGCAGATGTCAATCAAACTCAGCACCCAGTTACATTTGTGTTAGACCAAAGTGTGGAGGGGATTTCCCTTAAAAGGCTGACCTGACATGGGGGAGGGGGAGGTGTCACTTTTCCTGAGCTCTAAAGGGTATGAAGGGGCAGCTGGGCCAGGAGAAAAGGGAGCATCCTCCAGTGGAAGAGATGTACCAGGGGAACGGGACAAACACAGCTCACTTTAAGACATCAGGACTGGCCAGATGTGAGGCAGGTGGATCTCTGTGAGCTTGAGACTAGCCTGGTCTACATAGAGAGTCCCAGACCAGCAGAGTTATGAATTAAAACCTTGTCCAAGAAAAAAAAAGGGGGGGGAGAAAATGCTGTAAGCATGATGGCACACGCCTTTAAGCCCTACACTCAGGATGCAGAGGCAGGCAGATTTCTGTGAGTTCAAGGCCAACCTTGTCTACATAACAAGTTCCAAACCTATTAAGGATACATAAGATACATAGTGAGACCCTGTCTCAAAAATAAAAATTAAAGAGAGAGAGATTACAAAGGTTTTTAGGAATGCCTGCTGCTCTTTCAGAGTATCCAAGTTCAGTTTCCAGCACTCACTTCTGATAGCTCACAACTACCTGTAACTCCAGCTCCAGGGGATCAACACTCTCTACCGGCCTCTGAGAGCACCCACATACACACACATAAATTCAATCTTAAAAAAGAAAAAAAGACAATGAGTAGGGAAGTCAGGTCATATGGTCCTCGTCATGTTTGAATTGGAAATTCAACAGGCTTATGTGTTATACTGGGGGTGTTTGTTTGTTTGTTTGTTGTTTGGATTTTTCAAGACAGGGTTTCTCTGTGGCTTTGGAGGCTGTCCTGGACCAGACTGGTCTCGAAGTTGTTTGGGTTTCTTGTTTGTTTTGAAACTGGGTCTCTCTATATAGCTCTGGCTGTCCTGGAACTTGCTCTGTAGACCAGGCTAACCTCGAACTCACAGAGATCCTCCTGACTCTGCCTCCCAAGTGTTGAGTTTAAAGGTGTGCGCCACCACATCCCTGGCACAGCTCCAGTTTTGAAACTTACTCCCAGCTCCTGATGTGATGGAACAGTCCAAGAACAGAGCTGTGTGAGAATTCTGAGTGCTTGTGAGAAAACCCGAAGGAAACAAGAGTCTTGTAACATGTTTCTTCAAAACACATTCTTGGAATGTGTCTTTGTGCTCCTCCCAAATACAGCAGACAGGAGTGAGTTTACTTCAGCTGTTTTTTTTTATATGCCTCTATGGAAAAACATGTTTTTGCCACGTACAGCTTATCCTTGTGATTGGACACAGGTGACTCCTCCTAACCCTTGGAGTATAAAAACTGTCCGATGCTCTGAATAAAGCTGGCAATGTGTGAGACTTCAGTCTGTCCCATTTTTAGGCTCCATTCTCCCAGGTCATGCTGCCAACTAGAGCAGTAAATAATGGCGCTGCTTTGAAGGCTGGGAACTTCTAGGAGGTGGAACCTTGATGACAGGAGGTCAGTAGGGGCTTGCCCTTGAAGCCTGACCCCTGACTATACCCCTGGGTGTGGTGGCTCATACCTGTAATCCACTACTCTGCAGCTGAGTCAGAAGGATTACCTTGACTTCTCACCCAGCCCAAGCTACAGTGTGAGACCATGTCTCACAAAAAAAAAAAAAAAAAAAAAAAAAAAAAAGTAAAAACTAAGAGATAGCTCAGCACATAAGCCCATTTGCTGCCAAGCTTAGCTACCAGAGCTCAATCCTTGGAACCAACATGGTATAAGGAGAGAACTAACTCCTACAAATTGTCCTCTGACCACATATACACCATGGCACACACAGACACACATGCTCTAAACAAGCAACTGTAAAAATGTTAAAACAAGCTAGGTGTGATGGTACACACCTTTGATCCCAAATTCAAAGGGCTGAAGTAAGCAGATTCTATTACCTCAAGGCCAGCCTGGTCTACATAGCAAGTTCCAGAACAGCCAGGGCTACAAACACAGACATTCTGTTTCAAAACAACAACAAAAATAAAAAAATCAAAATTGTACTGGTCACTTCCACAGTGGCTCCCAGGGATGGGTGATCCTGGGCTTGGGCTAACCCAGGTGGCTTGCTTCTACTGAGAAAAATTCCAGAAGTGAGGAACTTCAAATGATCCAACACAGAATTCAGCCTGGACGGCCTTCTTGTCTGCTGATGTAATGGGGCCAGCAGCCACACTGTCAGCAACCCCTCCCCTCCAGAGTGGAGTGGTCCACACAGCAAGGAATCAATCAACCTCTGGCCAGCAGGTGGCAATCGGGCAACCCCCAGAGAGGCACCAGGACCTTGGTGCAGCAGAGAGCCAGCATCCTGACTACCCCCAGGAGAGTAAGGCTGGAGGCAGCCCTTTTCCAGTGAAAGCCCTCAGCGACTGCAACTTTACCCACCCTGATGTAAGAAATGTATGTTAAGTGTTGGGAATGCAGCTGCGACAGCACCTGTCTAGTGCACTCAAGGTCCTGGGTGCCATTCCCAGTACCACAAAGATAAAAACAGGCCAGGGAAGAGAAACATTCAGAATGAGACATGTGACAGTATTAGCCATTAGCAGGGTGAGCTTTGGGAGATGATAAAGGTGCTCTGGGAGTTTGATAGTAATAAAAACCTTTTGGGAGAGGGGTGCTGGCTTTTTGTTTAAATTTTTGTTTTTTGTTGTTTGCACAGTTTTGTTTTCAATTGTATGTGCATTGGTGTTTTACCTTCACATATATCTGTGTGAGGGTGTCAGATCTCATGAAACTGGAATTACAGACAGTTGTGAGCTGCCATGGAGGAGCTGGGAATTGAACCCAGATCTTCTGGAAGAGCAGCCAGTGCTCTTAACCATGGAGCTATCTATCTCTCTAGTCACATATTTGTATGTTTTTTGAAACAGGGTTTCTCTGTGCAGCCCTGGGACCCATTCACCTCTGTCTCCTGAGTGCTGAGATTAAAGAAGTGCACCACAACTTCCAGCTTTTAATTTTTATTAATTTGTGTATCTATTTATTATTGTATGTGTATGCACACATGACACAGATCACAATGTGAGAGTCAAATCTCTGCTTTTAGTGGAGATCAAACTCAGACTTGGTGGCAAGTCAACAGCCTGAAACCTTTGTGAATGAATCAAACCCTGCTAAATTGAATCAATAAAAATATTATGTTTAAAAAAAACTAAATTGCATATACTTCATACTGATAAATAACAATTTATAAATTATAATTTCACTATTAAGAACTGGCCATTAGCAAGTCAGGCAGAGTGGTACACACTTAAATCCCAGCAATTGGGAGACAAAAGGAAATGGATCTCTGAGTTTAGCTAGCCTGGTCTACAGTGAGAATTCCAGAACAGCTAGGGCTACACAGAGAAACCCTGTCTCAAAAAAAAAAAAATTAAAAATTAAAAAAAGAATTAAATACCAAGAGCTAGCTGGCCATAAGCAAGTAACATCAGTGGTGAACAGAAAGGCATTAGTTATGAACCGGGAGACAGCTCAATCTGGAAAGTGCTTGCTATGTAAGTGAGGCCCTGAGTTCTAACCTATCCCCAGAACCCACACACAGACACAAAAATGGGCGTGAGGGTGCGCTCTTGTAATCCAAGCAGAGGAGGTAGCCACAGGTCAGTCCCTGAACCCAGCCCACCTAGCCCAATGAGCCCCAGGTCTCATGAGGTATGACAACTGAGGCCTACACACGCACGCACGCACGCAGGCACGCACAGGCACGCATTCAAAACAGTCCTCAACAAAACGTTAAAGCCAGTCAAGCATGGCAGCGCACACTTGTAACCCCAGCACTGTGGAGACTGACCATGAGCCAAAGGCCAGCTTCAGTTACAGCTTTTATATTTAGGGTCTGCATGCTCCAGAGCCTATATTTTCTTTTAACTTGTTGAGACAGGATCTGTGTAGCCCAGACTGGCCTCAAATTTACTATGTAGCCAAGATGCCTTGAACTCTTCTTGAACTCCTGATCCTCCTGCCTCTACCCCTTGGGTGCTGGGATTACAGGTGTGCATCTCCACACCTAAATTGTTCTGTTTTCACTATGCAGCTCAAGCTAACCTCCAACTTGTCACCAAGGCAGAGGCACTCTGTGACATTGTGGGCACATGCATACATTGGCTTGTATCCCTGTTAGAAACAGGTGGCAGAAACTAGGTGGTGGTGGCGCATGCCTTTAATCCCAAGACTCGGGAGGGAGAGGCAGGTGGATCTGAGAGTTGGAGCCCAGCCTGGTTTACAAAGTGAGTTCCAGGACAGCCAAGGCTACATAGTGAAACCCTGTCTCAAAAACAGAAAACAGAAAGAAAGAAAGGAATAGGAGGAGAGGTAAACTTAATGCCCCATCTTAGCTGGATGTGGCGGTACTTGCCAGAGATGGCAGCAATCAGGGGGCGGAGGGAATAGCAGTGCTACAAGTTGAGGCCAGCCACATCTGTAATAAAACCCTGTGTCAACACACACACATGCTTGCTGGGGAGAAGGCTCAGTGGTTACAGTGCTTGCCTGCAGGCCTGAGAACTGGAGTCTGGATCCCCAGTAGGCCGCCTGTGACTCCAGCCTTTGAAGGCCAACATAGGGGATAACGGAGCAAGCTGACCAACAGACTAATTATACTGACAGCTCTGGGTTTGATTACAAGAGTCCCTGCCTCAATCAATATGACGGAAGAATAATCAAGGAGGGCTCCCAACATCAACCACGGGCCTCCACATGCACATGCGCGCGCGCGCGCGCACACACACACACACACACACACACACACACACACACACACACACACACACACACGGAAGGCACACAAAAATTAAACAACACTGTCTTAAGCCAGGGCCAGCTAGTCACAGTGGCTTCACACTTTCACACCCACTCTTCTTTTTTGGACCCTAAGGAGACACCAGAGCAGAGGCAGTGTGACACCAGTGCTACACACCTGAGTGGAGTCTGTGACCGAGGCCAGCTGCAGGTACTCAGAATTTCCCCAGCCAAAGACACCTCCATCGGAGGACACAGCCAAGCAGCAATCACCGTAGGTGGCAACCTGGACAACCGTCACCCCAGCAAGGTCTCCGCCCAGCTTGGTTGGTGTGCTGGTGATGTTGTAGTGACCCAGGCCTAGCACAGTAGGAAACGTGCATTAGCTCACAGACATAGGAGACTCAGGACAGGCACTTTGCCCCAAAGAAGACAAACAACAAATCTGTCCCTGGGCTGTTTTAAACACACTAGGAATGTTTAGGTCTAAATCAAGTTGAAACACTGAGGACAGAAGGATCATGAGTTCCAGGACAACCCAGGCTACATTGTGAGTTCAAAGCCAGCCTGGTCTATACTTTAGTTCCAGGACCGCCTTAGAAACAGACCCTCGACAGATGTGGCGGTACACACCTTTATTCCCAGCACTCAGGAGGCAGAGGCAGGAGGACTCTGTGAATTCAAAGCCAGCCTGATCTACATAGCCAGTTCCAGGACAGTCAAGACTAAATAGAAAGACCCTATGTCAAAAAAGGAAGGAAGGAGAGAGAGAGAGCAAACCCTTAAACAAAGCCCCCAAAAGTCAAGTTGGGAAATTTTGGAAGATAAACTAGCACTATATGATAAAGCTTTAAGAGTTTGCATAAATTATCATCAGTTACTGTCTTTCTTCTATGAGCTGTACTGGGGACTATAGTGCTAAGGATAGAGCTATCAGTGAGCTATATTCCAGCCCTAGAAGAAGCCATTTCTAACACTCTCTGGGCTTGCTAGGAGGTACTGAAGCCTGGCACAACGGCATGCGCCTCTAGGCTCATATATATGTAGGCCCAACAGACTAAGGGAAGAGGCCACTCAGGCCAGGAGTTAGAGGCCACCCAGACAGCACAAGACCTTATTGGGCAGCCAGCCAAAGTATAGCACTGAACCATAGGCTCCTGGGTAAACCGAGATCTCAGAGAAGCAGAAGCCCTGGCACCAGGCCAGGGCCAATGAAATGCCTTCTAGAAGAATGATCACTAATGCAGGTCCTGAAGGTTCCCACAAATTAAACTCAATAAAACAAGAGTTCATAGTCAAGTCACTAAGTCCCTGAGGGGATCAAGAACTACTAGCCAGAGTCAGCAGAGGCAACAGACAAGCCTATTCCTCCAGACTCCAATTGCGGGGATGAATGAGGCCCAGGGCTCTGCTGCTGACAACAATGCAGAGGAACCTCTGACACCTTCTTGGTTTGTTTCTATGGAAACCAGCAGCAAAAGAAACAGGAAAGGATACAAAGGATGGCAGTCCCCAGAAGACCCAAATCCAGACCATGAACTCTACAGATCACAATGGCTGCAGAGGCCAACAACATCTTTTGCCTCCCCAAGGAGGCAATAAGCACCTACCTGTCTGTCCATCGGCACCCCATCCACAAGAATAGACTTCCCCTTTGTTTGTGAGGAACAGGCTGTGATCCTGACCACAGACAACCTGGCAGACACAGAGACACAGGGCTGTTAGAGCCTAAGCAGCCAGGCCTATACACAAGGGGACACTGGATCAGGCGGACTTGCCCTAGATCCCTTCACAGCTTACTCTCTCCATCAGCTCTTCACCCCAGATAGAGCTCCCTCCCCACCTCTCCTCTGTAACCTCAGACTCTCCATTACCTTCCCTGTTGGAATCGGCTGTCTCTCCCCACTTCACACTTCTCTGGAAGGCACTGCACTGCCCCCACCCCCAGGCTTTCCTGTGGTCTGGCACCACATGACTGCCTGTCTGCAGGACAATAAGATACCATATTTCTTTTCCTAACTCACAGGACAGCTGTTCCATCAGGAGTCTATGCTAAGGCAACAGTCACGATGCCCTAGCACAAATGGAACCACCAAAGTTTAGTGACTTACCCAACATCACTCAGCAAGTAAGTGGAGGAGCAGGAACTTGAACTTACATTCATGGGACTATGAAGCCAGTTCAAGAACTCCGCTCTACTGCAACCTGACTACTAAACCTGCTACTTCCCCTTCACTTCTATCCTGCTACATTCTAGCCTCAGTTCTGGCCTGTGGTAAGTTCTACTAATCTCTTCATCCAGTGTGATGGCTAGTTTCAGGTCAACTTGACACAAGCTGGGGTCATCAGAGAAGAGGAAGCCTCAGTAGAGAAAATGCCATGCTTCCAACGTAAGATTGGGCTTAGCTTGGAGTGCTGGTGTACATCTTTAGTGCCAACACTCAGGAGGCAGAGGGAGGCAGATCTCTTGAGTTTGAAGCCAGCCTGGTCTACACAGCTAGTTCCAGGACAGCCAGGGCTACACAGAGAAACCCCGTCTCAAATATATAAATAAGTAAATAAGATTGTGCGGTAAGCAAGCCTGTGGGCATCCCTGGGCTGGTGGTCCTGGGTTCTATAAGAAACAGGTTGAGCAAGCCATGGGGAGCAAGCCAGTAAGCAGTATCCCTCATGGCCTCTGCATCAGCTCCTGCCTCCAGGTTCCTGCACTGTTTGAGTTCCTGTCCTGACGCCCTTCAGTGATGAACAGTGATATAGAAGCATAAGCCAAATAAACCCTTTCCTTCCCAACTTGCTTATGGTCATAGTGCTTCAATAATACCCCTAAGACATTCAGAGAAGTCCAATGACAAATGTAACATCACCCTGTGCACCTTGCAACCTTTCAAAAGCACCCCAAAAGTCCTCAGGCCAAGCCTCTTACCTGGACTACCTGTCCATCAAAGTCCTGCATCCTGTGCACTGTGTGACTCTCACTGCAGCCAGGAACACATTAGGGAGAAGCAACAGAGGCAGTCATGAGCACCGTGCAGGCTGGGCCCCACCCAGCACCCTACCTCCTGTCATCCCTACCTGCACAGCCATGTCCTCACATACACAAACATTGCAATAGCTCTCAAGGTCAAATGTGGTTGTCTTGTCTGTCAGCTTTCAATTATGTGTGTGGGTATGTGCACAAGTGCACTGGTGGCCTTGGAGGCCACAGACGTTGTATCTCCTGAAGCTAGAGTTACACGGTGCTGGAGACAGAACTCCAGTCCTCTGCAAGAGCAATAACCGCTCTTAACTGCTGAACATCTATCTAGCCTGTATGTTTGTTTGCTTCTTTATGGTACTGGGGATGGAACCCAGCTCTCATACAAGCACTCTACTGCCTAGGCACACTCCAGCCCCTGACTGGGGAGCTTTGGGCGACTGCTCTACTGCTCAACCACGCCTGGTTCTCACTGCAAGAGAAAAGTAAAGTATTCAACCAAGGAGCTGCAGTCCCAGCCCGTGGTTGTTTTGTTCCAGGCCAACCAAAGATGCACAGTGAAACCTGTCTCTAGAACATGAAAGAGTTAAGGAGCCTAGCAAGATGGCTCAGTAGGTAAAGGCACTTGCCACCAAACCTAACCACCTGAGGTCTATCCTTAGAAGCCACATGGTAGAAGGTGAGAACTGATCCCTGAAAATTATCCTCTGACCTCCATACATGATGAGGACATGTACATGTACACACACACATACTAAACATTTAAAAAATATTAACAGCTTTACACATCGCGACCAATGCTCTTCTACCCTCCCCTCTCACCCTACAAATGGTGGCGCCTCTGCTGAGATGAGGGTCTCTCCTGAGCATCAGGGCCACGCCCTCCACTCAGGTGTACATCCAGGGTAATTAGAAGCTCAGGTCCCCACACTGTGGGGAAAGCAGCTGATGGGACTCACCTGTACACTTCGTCCTCCACCACCTTCCGTCCGCACTGCCCGTGGGCATTGTTCCCCATGCTGAAGACTGAAGCATAGCCCTGCCATCAGGTCAGCTCTATGGGTCCCAGGGCCCCACCACATCAGGACTAGAGGAGCTAACATCGGTGCTGCTGGCCTGCACACCCTCACTAACCCTACACCTCCCTCTCCCATGCTCCAGCCTCTGCAGCAGCCCATGAGTTCGGCAGGGTCTGGGCACGCTTCTCTTCTAGACCAGCTTCCGCCTCCAGGGACCAAAGATCACAATCAACTGCTATGACCCCAGAACTGCAATGGGGGGAGGGCACAACAAGACACCATTGATAGATGCACCTTCAGCCCACCTGAGCATTTGAGGCTAATAATGCCTCCATAGTGACCACTGTTAACATGCTCATAACCTAATACACAACATACACACACAATTAAAAAAAAAAAAAAAAAAAAAAAATATATATATATATATATATATATATATATATATATTTGGTTTTTGAGACAGGGTTTCTCTGCATTGCTTTGGAGCCTGTCCTGGAACTAGCTCTGTAGACCAGGCTGGCCTCGAACTCACAGATAACCACCTGCCTCTGCCTCCCAAGTGCTGGGATTATAGGCTGCATCACCATCTACACCTGTGTTAAAAATAAGATCTTTAAAAAGAAAAAAAAGGGCGGGGCAGGGACCTGAGCTCCCAGTACCAACACTGGCACACACAACCACACAGCTCCAAAGGATCTGATATGGTTTTCTGGCCTCTGCAGGGACCACACATATGTAGCATACACTCAAATATACACACAAATAAAAATTAAAAATAAATCTTAGAAAAAAATCAGGAGCTGAGGCAGAGCTCAGTAATAGAGTCAATAACTGCTCTCGAGCACAGCCGGGAAGAACAGGAGATAACAAGTCCACCCAATGCCACCCTACCAAGTCCCCCATGAGTCTGCCTGGGAACACCTTGTCACACCGAGCAGGAGATGGCCAACAGCAAGGCTGGTTTCACAGTGCCATTACCTCCTCTTCAGCCCTCAACAGGACTACTCACCACCTTCTCTGTCTGTCAGGATAAGGGAATGTGCTCGACCGCAGGACACCTGCAACACCTTCGTCTCCTGAGGTCTGTCGAGGGGCAGCAGGACAGGCGAGGGCTCCAAGACGTACTCATAGCCCCTAGCTGAGTGGAAGCGCCAGTCACAATGCAGTCACTGATTTGGTCACATCAGCTCTTACAGAAACCTGACTGTCCAACCTCACTGCTTTACACAGGAAAGATCTCAGCAATAACTCAGCATGCACACTATGGACAAGGCTAGCCTGAGAAGCCTGCCCTCCCATACTGCCTTCCAGCCACAGGCAGGTCCTGAGCACTGTGTTTGTCTCCTGAAAGAAATCTCCAGGACCGCAGTGGAAGCTCTGTGTTTCCCTAGAATACACAGAGTGGTGAGTTCAAAACCAACCTGGGCTACATGAAAACCTGTCTTAAAAAAAAGAAAAGACATCTTGAACTCAGGAGGCTGAGGCAGGATAGCCACAGATGGAGACCTAGTTCCAGTAAAACCTGAATAAATAAATCAGTCTCATGGGCCAATAATCTAGCTTCGCAAGGCCCTGGGTTTGATCATCAGCAACACACACACACACACACACACACACACACACACACACACACACACAGTCAAACTAAAGCTGTGAGAGGGGAGAAGTAGTCTAAAAGGACTATGGAATGAATAAAAGAAAAAAAATTTTTTTCCCCAATAAAGTATCACAGCTAGGCATAGTGACACACATCTGTAATTCCAGCACTCAGGAAACAAAGACCATGCCAGAAAAATGGCACAGCTGGTAAAGGTGCTGGCCACTGAGCCTGGTAACCCAAGTTCACACGGTAGAGAATCAATCCCCACAAGCTGTCCTCTGACCTCTCGGGGCACGCGCGTGTGGGATTTCAGGTGTGCACCACCACACCTTGTACCAGGCTCTTTCTTTTGGACCACCATCAAGTTCCCAAATCATGACACGGAAACTGCCAGTTAGTCATAAATGCTTGGCCTGCCTTCCTTCTTTCCTTTCTGTGGATCCTACTTTCACTGCTTCTCGGGTCTGGCTGGCTAGCAGCTGCCTGGCTTCTTGCCCCAAACATGCCCCTCACTCTCTCCTCTCTCCCTCTTTTTTCTCTTCTCCTCCTATTTTCTATGCCCACCAGCCCCACCTATCCTTTCTCGGCCTAACTATTGACCGATTAGCTCTTTATTAGACCAATCAGGTGTCTTAGGCAGGCAAGGTAAAACAAATGCAACACATCTTATAATTAAACAAATGTAACACATCATTACATCAATAAACAAATGTAACACTTGCCCAGTTAAAATCATATTCTACAACAACACTGGCTTCAGCCCTTGAGGTGTAGAGGGGGTTGTTGTTGTTTTGGGTTTTTTTGTTTGTTTTTGTTTTATTTGTTTTACAAGACAGAGTTTCTCTGTTTCTCTGTCTAGCATTGGAGCCTGTCCTGGAACTCACTCTATAGACCAGGCTGGCCTTGAACTCACAGAGATCCACCTGTTCTCTGCCTCCCAAGTACTGGAATTAAAGGTGCCACCCCTGCCCAGCCAGCCCTTGAGTTTTGATATGTAGCCCAGGCCGGCCTCAAACTCAGGCTCCTCCTCCCTCAGCCTCTCCCTTGCTGGGATTAGAGGTATATGCCAACACAGCCTTCTTTATTTGCTGTTGTAGTTTATGGTAAGGATACCTGCTTACTTTTATCCTTCCGGCTCCTGTGGAATCCAAGCTGAGAGTCTTTGTTGAGTCCCATACCCCAGACTTTCGTGACATCCTTGGTTTTAGAGGACAGCAGTGTGAATCCATAGCCACACGCAGCAGAGGAAATCTGAAAAAGAGTTCCCACAATGCACCATGGACTGATTTGTGACGTCAGCTCCCTCAGCAAGAAGTGACAAGCCATTTCCATACACATGAACTTCCCACAGTGAGTGGGCTTCAGCCGTCACCTGCTATGCTAGGCCGTTCTCTTTTTATCTTCTTCTGTACACACACTGCTAATGTGTCAAGTTCACGGTAGCTACAGCAACGCCTCTGTGTGGCCATGGTGGGATGCACTGGGCATTTTCATCTCACCCACCAGAGCACAGTCCAGCATGGCAGTGGACAGAAGGTCTTAGTGTCAATCTTAGCCCCACCCCTTACCAGCTGTGTGCCTTGAGATGGATTATTTATCCTCTCTAGATAGTTCTCTCTAAAAGAGGAAAACGAGGCCCAAGCAGATGACTCAGGAGGTAAAGGTAACTTGCCACTGAAACTTGATGATCTGAGTTCAATCCCCAGGGCCACATGGTGAAAGGAGAGAACCGACTCCTCCAAGCTGTCCTCTGACCTTATATGTGTGCTGACACACAAGCATGTGCATACACATGTATACACACAAAAATAAATAAATAAACAAATGTTCAAAAACTTTTAAAGAAAATGAGAGGCTGAAGAGGTGGCTCCATAGGTAAGAATGCTTGCTCTGCGAACATGAGGACCTGAGTTCGGATCCCCAGCACCCATGTGAAGGTCTGGCATGGCTGCATGTGGTATCTGTAACCTCAGTTATGGGTCAGAGACAGGAGAATCCCTGGAGTTCCCTGGCCAGTCAACCCAGCAAGATCAAGGGCTTCAGTTTCAGTGAGAGACCTTGTCTCAAAAAGAATGCAGAGAGCTGTAGTGGAAGGCAGTCTGGCCTCTGCATGTGCACGAAAGGGCACACAAAACGAGAGGACAAAAGCACTCCTCTCGTTGGGTTTGCCGGGAAGAAATGAGTTCTTACAGCCAAAGCTTCTACAGGAAACAGCACCTGACTTAGACAATGATGTGCAGAGTCTCACTCCAGAGGGCTGCCCATGCTACATTGCTACCATGGCCACACAGAGGTGTTGCTACAGCTACCATGAACTTGACACATTAGCAGCGCCCACGTCTTAATTCAGTCTTTCACCTAAACCATCACCAGTCCTCACTTTCATTGACTGGGGGAACTCAACTTGGGATGGGAACCTCACTTCTGGTAGGATCATTCATTCTAGTTGGGACCAGAAGTAACCCAAACCCAAACCCAGGGTTCATTCTAAAAATCAATCATTTCCACACCACTCAGAGCAACTACACTCCCAGCTAACAGGGGTTGCCCTCAATTTTACACTTGCTGTCCCATGTCCTCTCTATCACACATTGTAGACTCCTCAGCCTAGTGTCACCCACTATCTCCCAGCTGTTGAGTTTATCAGAGACCTACTGCTTCCCTCAGAGAAGCCTCTGAACCTCACTGAGTCCAAAACAAAAATGCCACTCCTCATAATTCCCCTGCCTCTGCCTCCTAACTGCTGCCATTGCACATGTGTGGACAGGAACATTCTGTTTTAATTCTAGCTAAGTATTTTTTTTTTTTTTTGATTAGTAGTTTTACTTATGTGTCTGTGTCTATGTGAGCATATCCACACGTGGTGAGACTTCCAGGGTGCTGAGCAAATGATCCATGAAGGGCAGAACACCTGGCGTGACTGAAAACCTACGCAATCAGGCAAGAAAAATAAATAAACAAACCGCACACAGAAAACGCTAAGGCAGGAAAATCGATAGAGGCAAGCCCGGCAGTCAAAGGCAGAGGCCTGAGATAAACAATCTTCTTGGCAGCCACCCCGAATGCCTTCTTCGACAAATCCCAGGAACTAGGAGGTCATGCTCCCGGATGTCCGGGCACGGAAAGAACAAATACCCTAAGGGCGGCCGCGAGGGTGCCGGTGCCCTCACCTTATGGTCCAGCTCCAGGCGGTAGGGTACCGGCTGGATTCTGCGTCGGGGCCGCAGGCCGGCGCGGGGTTCGGGCCCCGAGGCCGGCACCACGAAGCTGGGCACTCCGAGCGCCCCCGAGAAGCTGAAGCCCCATACGAAGACGCGATCGGCGCGGGCCGCGCGCTCGCCCACGTACTGGAACACGGGAGCGTCCGCCTCGGCCTCGGCCGCCTCTCGCCGGCTCCGTGAGCGCCCGGCCGGTCTCCAGTGCTCGCGGACCGGTGCGGGCCACCTCAGCCGCCGCCCCAGCAGAGTCCCGGCCGCCGCCAGCATCATCCACTTCATGCCTTAGCCGCTTATGGGCGCCGCCATCTTGCATCACCCTTGACCCCCTCGCCTGGCGGAAGTAGATGCGGCCATGTTTACTACTGGCTGAAGGAGAAGCGCTTAGGGGAATGCAGCCATATTTACTATTGGCAGATGGTACCGACTTTGAGGGAGGTGTCCAACCAGGGCTACTCCTAGATGAAAGCAAAGCCTGTGGGAAATCTATGGCAATTACGTCATTATCCCAGTGTTATCTGAAGATGCTCCCAGTGTTATCTGAAGATGCCTGTGAAGTGCTGCCCTATGCATCTTCCTGCTCCTTTTTCAAATTCCCGTATTATGTGTTGGTTTAGGTATGGAGTTATTTAGGTGGTGCTTGAAATTGAACCCAGGGACTCATACATAGTTAGATTACAGGCTAATACCGAACCACACTCCCAGCCCCAGAAATTGTATTTTATAAAAATTGAAAGGAAGAAGAGGAAGCATTCTAGATGTTTATCTCACAGAAGCAAAAAAGGAAACCAGCCTGGAAGAGAGGGGAGATAGATATATATTTGTTTGTTTGAGACAGGGTCTCACTCTGAAGCCCAGGCTAGCCTCTAACTCACTGCAATTCTCCTACCTCAGCCTCCCAAGTGTTGGGATTACAGACCCATGCTGCCACCAGGCCAGATTCAACCCTGGTTGAACTGTGTCTGACTTCTGTGTCCCTTACTTTGCTCCTTTGGATCTCAGCTTCAGAATGAAAGGCTAAATTAAAACAAACAAAAAATTACTATATGAAATAAAATTGTTTTCATAAAGTGTTAACAGCACATTGCCTTTAATCCCAGCACTCGGGAGGCAGAGGCAGATGGATCTCTCTGAGTTCGAGGCCAGCCTGGTCTACAGAGTGAGACTCAAGGCAGTCAGGTTGACATAGTGAGACCCTACATCAGAAGGAAAAAGTAGCCAAAAGAAAGGAGTCGTCTTTGGTGTAAACTTGGAACAAAGAGCTGGATGTGGTGGTGCACAGCTTTGATCCCAGCATTCAGGAGGCACAAGCAGGTGGATATAGACTTGCTTGGGCTACGCAGTGGGTTCCATAACTGCCAGGGCTGCCGGGTGAGCCTTTATTTCAAGGGGGAAGGGGAGATAGGCTAGAGAGATGTCCCAACTGTTCAGAGTGCTTGCTGCTCTTGCAGAGGACCCAAGTTTTGTACCAGACCCCACATCAGGTGGCTCACAACCACCAGTAACTCCAGCTGGCTGCAGAGAATCTGAAACCCTCTTCTGGGCTCCATGGGTACATACATGCATTCACTCATACAGACATGCACACATACGCATAAATAAAAATAATTCTTTAAAAAGCTTTAAAAATTAGCCAAATGGTGGTAGCACACATCTTTGATCCCAGCACTTGGGAGGGAGAGGCAAGAGGATCTCTGAGTTTGAGGCCAGCCTGGTCTACAGAGAGTTCCAGAACAGCCAGGGATAAACAGAAACCCTGGGAGGGGGGGAGAATAAACATAGAGGACGGTTACAGTGTGAGTCATGGCCACTAGGTGGCAGTGTTTGCACATCAATTTTGTTCCTATTTATGACGCAGCTCACAACAGGTGGGTTCAGAGTGAGATTTACACTTACAGGAAGTGTAGCTCAGTGGCAGCATGCTTGCCTGCATGTGCAAGGCCCTGAGTCTCTCCACAGCCCAATAAAACCAAACGTTTGTGTTTGTGTTTGTATTTTTGAAACGGGGTCTCATGTTGCCCAGGCTGGCCTCTGCTATGTTGCTTGAATTTGAGCCTCCAGCATCCACCTCCAGGGTGCCAGGAGTACAGGCAAGCACTTCCAAGCCCAGCCTCGATGTAAAAAATAATAAAATACATTTCACTTATGCATTTGTATATGGGGGGAGGGGTGCACGGGCACCACAGCATAGGTGTGGAAGTTGAGGAACATCTTTTTGGGGAGTTGCTACTCTCCCTCCACCTTGTAGTTCCAAGGATGGACTCAAGAATTTCATACTCAAGACAAGTGGCCTTTATGCTCTGAGGCACCTCACCACCCAGCAATTAAAAACTGTTACTACGCTTTATTTTTAATAGTTTATTTTTGTTTGGTTTATTTTTATTTGATGTATATTGACTGATGTTTTGCCTGCATATATGTCTGTGTGAGGGTGTAGTTCCCCCTGGAACTTAAGTCACAGGCAATTAAGAGCTGCCATGTGGATGCTAGGAATTGAAGCTGGGTCCTCTAGAAGGGCAGCCAGTGCTTTTAATCACTGACTAATCTCTCCAGCCCCCAAGATTTCTATTTTCTAAGTGTGTATGAGTGCCTGCAGAGGTCAGAGACCTCTGATCCTTTGGAACTGGAGTTACAGCCACTTGTGACCTGCCACCTGACATGGATGTTGGTAATCCAACTCTGGACTTGTGAAAATACACTACCAGTTCTTAACAGCTGAGCGATCTCTTCAAGAGCCCCTTTTCAAATAAATTTTAAAGCAAAGAAACCAAAACCCTCTCATAAACTGGGGCCAGAGAGATGGCTCAGTGGTTAAGAACACTTGCAGCTTTTGCAGAGGACCCAAGATCAGTTTCCAGCATCGACATGGTGTAACACAATTTCAAACCACTTTAAACTCCAGGTCCATGGCAGCCTGTAAGCACTGCAGTGGCTCAGATCGGATGGACAGGAATTCTGGCACTGGGGAGCCAAAGAATACTGAGTGTTACAGCTCGGGTGGAAAGGTATGCTCGGAATCGGGAGCCAAGGAATACCACAGATGACAGTATGTGTAGCAGCTTACAGCCCTGCTTCAGGGAAAGAATTCCCAGCAGTATAACAGCTCTGCTCCCGCAGGGGAGGGCTTCCCTGGAGAAGTTACACTTGAGCTCCAGTCCCCCAGAATGTAAAAACTCCACCTTGCTGAGGGGGGAGAAAGGGTTACAGCCCTGCTCCAGGAGAGTGACCACCTCTGCCAGGGTGGCAGCCAACAGCTACAAGCTGAACAGGAACAAGGTTTATATAGGGATTCTCAGAGGTGGAGTTTTGCCAGGAAGATTCCCAGGATTCGGATTGGTCAGATTTCAGTCCCTGAGCTCAGATTGGCTAGATCTCCTGTTCAGGGATTGGTTTCCTGCTCAGGGTCGGGAAGATTTGGCTCTGATTTCAGGGCCAAAGTGTGTTTCTGTCACTGATTTTTTTTTTTTTTTTTCCTTTTCGCTCTAATTTTAGGGCCAGGGTGTATTTCTCTCCCAGGCTTTGGTTCCAGGGGCAGGGACAAAGTGTTTGTTTAGCACCCACTTCAGGGTCAGGATGTGGTTCTTTGGCTGACCCTTTTCCCCTAACAACCCTGTGACGACTTCTGTCCTTTCCGTGGTGCACACACACAGCTCCCCCCCCCCACACACACACAGAGAACACTTACATGCCTTAATAGCTCCATGGTGTACATACTGGCAAAACACCTAAATGCAGGCAGTGCTTTAAGAATAGCTCCCGAGGCATGCATGAACGCTGCATACATGAACATATAAGAGACACACAATTTTTTGTTTGTTTTAGGGGGGTTGTTTATTTTTCGAGACAGGGTTTCTCTCTGTAGCCGGGAACTCCCTCTGTAGACCAGGCTGACTTCGAAACCAGAGACCCGCTTACTTCTGCCTCCGGAGTGCTGGGATTAAAGGCGTGAACTACAACCGCCTGGCAAGGCATACAATTTTAAAAAAAGGAAATGCAATGATCTAGCCTCCATAAGCACGCGCACCCAAAGCCAAAACTTAAGAATATATGTATATCAAGAAAGGCATGCACATTACGGCGCGGGGGTGCGCGCTAAGCACTCCAAGCTGGCGGCCTTGCGGAAGCCGCGCTGCAGCGCACCGGAAGTGGCCATCCCCACTAGGGGTGCTCCGGACACTCGCGGGAAGCCGACCTTCCCAGAAAGCAAACAGGGAGGAAAAAAAAACGGAAAGAAAAAAAATAATTAAAAGAAAGGAGGGAGTGTAGAGAGGCTGCTGGAGAGGAGGCACCCTCGGTGCACCCTCCCTCGCCCCGTGCGCTCCCGTCGCTGGTCCAGGGCCGCTGCGCACGCGCAGCCCAGGCTTCAGACCCCCGGCGCGGCCCGCACGGCAGGGTCGTCAGGTGCGTATTCCGCCGCCGCTTCCCTCACAACTCCCGCTTCCGGAAGTCCCCCGGGGAAGAGAGAGCTCGCAGGGCGCGGGGCGGAACTCTCAGGCGCCCGGAGCCCGGCTCCGAACCCCAATTAGCGAACGGCGAGCGGGCCCTGAGGAGTGGGGGTGGGGCGGGGGAGACGCGCCGCTGGGCGACCGGGCCCGCGCACGCAAGGCGTACACCGAAATCTCTGTTTTGATTGGCTGGGACGGGAGCGCGGAGGCGGGGAAGGACTAGGCCCGAGTGCGCAGCACGGAGATCATGGGGTACCTGACGTGCCTGCGCTGAGTGTGGGAGCTCGTCATTGGCTAGGGGAAGAGGCGGGGCCAAGGGGTTGCCTAGTGACGGTGCTCTGGCTCCGCCCTTGTCACGCCTTGCCTGTTGACGCCAAGGATTTGGGGGGCGGGTCTGGGGTTCTTGGAGGCCTAGGGCATGCGTGTCTAAGGAAAACTGAGGAAAGGAACTGGGCAGTGCAAGATGCCCTATGACCATAACACCTAATACAACAATAATAAAAACCTCCTTAAGTGAAATTTATTTTAACAATGTATATAATCTATTGTACCCAAAACATTCCAGCAGGTCCTCAGCATAAAGAACCAGAAATGAGCTAGCAGTGGTGGTGCAAGCCTTCAGGTGGACCGAGTTCAAGGACAGCCTGGTTTGGATATCAGGTTCCAGGCCTGCTGAAGCTAAACAGTGAGACCTTGTCTCTAAATAAATTACAACAGCTTTGGTGAGAGATAGGAAAATTCACCCTTTAAAATACAAGTAGCGCAAGTCAGAAAAAGAACCCCACCAAAGTAAAATAAAAACAGAATAAAATGAAAAGCATAAGTAAAGTGTACTGTGGTGTCTTATAAGTGTCTGTCACCCCAGCACTTGGAGATGCTGCAGCAAGAGGATTTCAGAAAGTTACAGGATAAAAATTACATAGTCAGGTGCTCCTTTAAAAAAAAAATATGAGAGGAGAGTCTGAAAAGATGGCTCAGCAGTTAAGAACTTGTACTGCTGTTGCAAAGGATCGGGCTTCAATTCCCAGGACCCATTTGGCAATTCACAACCACCACCATCTGTAACTCCAGTCCCAGGGCATCCAATATCTCTTCTGACCTCCATTGCCAGGCATACATGTGGTACGCATACGTAAGTGCAGGCAAAACACTCCTACACGCGCGCACACACACACACACACACACACACACACACACACACATTTTTAATGAAGGAGCTCTTCCAAGCACGCCCCTCCACAGGTGTCCTGCCTGCTCCTCTGGGCATCTCGGGTCTTCAGCAGGTGCTGCCATTAAGGGCCATTTCTTTAGAAATTATTGTAAGGCAAGAACTTTTGAAGGATGGTTTCCTGAGAGACCTTTTTTTTTTTTTTTTTTTTTTTTTTTTTTTGGAGGGGGTTGGTTTTTCCAGACAGGGTCTCTCTGTGAAGCTCTCCCTGTCCTGGAACTCACTTTGTAGATGAGGCTGGCCTCTCACAGAGATCCTCCTGCCTTTGCCTCCCGAGCGCTGGGAGTAAAGGGGTGCACCACCACAGCTCGGCTGAGAAACTTTTTAACAAAAGTGAAATTTGGACACTGCATTGAGAACTCTCAAGACATGTCAGCTCTTGATTAACATTACAGCCAAAAAGGACAACTTGTGGATCCATTGGAGTTGGCTTCATTGTGAGAGAGAAACAGAGATGCCTGTAACTATTTGTCCAAAGAATCTGAAGTCCTCGTTTATGTCCCCAAGATGCAAGGTGCATTGGTTGTTTGCCAGTCTTTTTATCTGTGCATTATCAATGTCACCTGCCACAAAGGCAAGATGGAGGCACCCTGATTGTGGCCAACAAGCCAGATGTGCTGTGATCAAGAGTTCCCAGTTTTGAAATGTTGGTCTCAGTCCAAAATAGCAGCTCTTTGTCCTTTGGGGAGTGAGGATATCTGCTGGAGCAACATGAAGCATAAATCAATATTTAAGAATTTGACCCCACGAGTTCCAGGGGGCTGACTATACAAACTCTTCAGTACATTCCGGAAGTCCTGTGTTCTCCTTTGATCCTTGAGGCTGTTTCAAATGTGGTCTTTTTTCACTGAGTTTTATGCAGTTAATGTTTTCTGAGAAGCCAATAAATAAGACCTATTCTTTTATGAAAATAAATGGAGGTGCTGGAGAGATAGCTCAGCAGTTAAGAGTGCTTGCTGCCCTTGCAGAGATCCAAAGTATAGTCCTGAGAACCCACAGCAGGGAACTCACAACCCTCTGTAACTCTAGATCCAAGGAATCTAAAGCACTCCTGGCCTACATGTGCGCTCTCTCTCTCTCTCTCTCTCTCTCTCTCTCTCTCTGTCTCTCTCTCTCATTCTCGATCTCTCTCTGGCACACACATGAATTTGCACATATAACTACATAATCTTTTAAAGGTAGGAGAATAAATAAAGCAAGTTTTTTTGTGTTGTGGTTGACACCACTGTTTTTAGTTCTGTGCATTGGATGTGGGTATTTATTCTTGCATCCTTGTGGGTGTTTACTAAAGGATAGAATTGCTGGGTCAGGCTTTGTGGGTGTTTTATTTTATTTGTGTTTGTTTATACTTGGGACTGAGCCCAGAACCACTGAGCTATGGCCCCAGACTTATGTTTTGTTTCTTAGATTTATTTATTTATTTTGAGACAGGGTTTCTCTGTGGAACAGCCTTGGCTGTCCTGGATCTCTGTTTGTAGGTCAGGATGGCCTCAAACTCAACAGAAATCTTCCCGCCTCTGCCTCCCGAGTGCTGGTTTTAAAGGCGAGCACCACCACTGCCTGGCAAAAGCTTGGCTTCTTGATCGACCATCTCATCTCTACATGACCAGAGACCATAAAATAACCAGCCAGCTCCTGGCTGTACATTGTGTCTCAGGCCAGTGCCATGCATTTAAGGGTTTAAGAAATATATGTAGCACTCTTTTCCTCAAGAACTTCCTGGTCTGCCATGATGGGACCCACCTCAAACACACATTCCCATCTCTCTGGTGACATCTTGTTTGTACTCTAATAATAAAGCTTGCCTAAAAATCAGAGGGTGGAGCCAGCCAATAGCTAACCATAGAGGTCTGGAGGTCTGTGCAGATAGACAGGAAGTGTAACAGCTGAGTGGAGAGAGGAAGTAAGGTGGAAGGACACAGGAGCTCAGTCTCTTTTTGCATGAGGAGTTAGCAAAGTAAGAGTTGGCTGTGGCTGCTCTTTTCTCTCTGCTCTTTCCGAATTTGTCCCGTTATCTGGCTCCAGGTACCTTGCTTCTTTGCTGTGGGACCCAAAGTTTAGGTAGGGTCTAGATATCCTACAAGAACTACCTCATGCCTTCAGTGTCCAAAGGATGCCTTACATCCCAAAGCTACTGGCATCTCCATCCTGTATCAGCCTGGGGATCAAACCTTGAAACCATAATGGACCCTCAGTTCATGAACTCACAGAGCTGTATCATGTGATCACAAGGACACTGACACTACTCACATCCTTGTTTCTCTTCTACAGGAACAATGGCCCAAGTAGCAATGTCCACCCTGCCCATTGGAGATGAGTCCTCAGACAGCAGGATGGTGGTAACATTCCTCATGTCTGCTCTGGAGTCCATGGTGAGACACTCTGCTTCTGCCATCATCTCACATGTTGCTGAACTGAAGGATGGTGACACACTTCAGCGTCACTTCTCATGCCCCCCCCCTTGTCTCTATGGGGATATCCTTCAGTCTGGGTGTGGTGGTACACACCTGTAAACCCCAGCACTTTGGGAGGTAGAGAAAGGGGGATCAGGAGCTCAAGGTTATCAAGGGTGTGAGTAGGGGCTGCTTTGATATTTTTATACATATTTAGTGTACATGATGTGTGTGCTCATGTGTATGCCATGAGAACTGTGTTTGGAAAGCTGGTGTTCTTCCATCACATGGGTCAAACTTGGTCGTGAGGCTATCTATTCCCTGGGCTATCTTGCTAGCCTACCAGAGTGAGTTCAAGACCAGTCTGGGACATGTGAGACCATCCTCTTAACCCCATAAAAAAAAAAAAAAAAAAAAAAAGAAAGAAAGAAAAAGAAAAGAAAACTAGAAGTATCTGCCCCCAGAACCCTGATATGGAAATGGATCCATTCCTGCATTTGACAAGTAAGTACCCATGATGGGCCTCCTACATCCAGGCTTTTGATGTAAGTTGTCTGGCCCAGCAGGTCCCTCAGCCCTTGAGACCCAAATAAGTACATAGATGCTATATTAGCTATAAATCTGTTAGCCAGTGGCTCAGGCTTCTTATTGGCTAGCTCTGTCTTAATTATTAACCTATTTCTATTAATCTATGTATTTCCACATGGTCTTATCCTACCAGAGAACGCTTTGAGCATCCTCTCTTCCCGGGCTCTACATGGTGACTCTGTAGAGAAGAGAGCAATTTCCTGATTGTCCCTGCTTATATCCTGATTCTGCCCAGCTCCATCACTTCCTGTCTGTCTGTACAGACCTCCATGGTTAGCTAGTGGCAAGTTTCTGCCTGGCTATGTCACTTCCTGTCTGGCCAGTCAGCCAGTCGGTGTTTTATTCATTAATCAATAAAAGAAGCATATATACAGAAGAACATTCCCCTTCACCAGGCCTCTTTTAGACATGAGGTAGGTCAGATCCCTTCACAGGGTTTATATCCTGTGTGTATGTGTTTTTGTAGGTAAATATAACAACCATAAGCTGGGGCCAGCAAGATGGCTCAGCAGACAAAGGAACTTGGCACCAACCTTGAATATATGAGTTCAATTCTCAGGACCCACAGAGAGAAGTGACCCCTGCAAGTTGTTTTCTTTTCTTTTTTCAAAATGGGGTTTCTCTGTGCAGCAGCCTTGACTGCCCTGGAACTTGTTTTGTGGACCAGGGTGGCCTTGGACTCATAGAGATCCACACACCTCTGCCCCCCCCCAGTACTGGGATCATAGGCATGCTCCACCTCACTGTGATGTGGACGTGCTGGTGCTCACACACACACACACACACACACACACACACACTACTACTACTACTACTACTCATAATAAAATGAAAAGTAGTTATGGAAAGAGCCTTCCACCCAGCTCCGAAATAAATCACATGGAGGCTTATTCTTACTTATGCATGCCGGATCCTTAGCTTGGCTTGCTTCTAGCCAGCTTTTCTTAAATCTTCCCATCAACTTCTTGCCTCTGGGCTTTATCTTTCTCTACTCTATATACCTTTCTTCTCACTCCATGGCTGGCTGGGTAGCGGGGTGGCCGGCCCCCGGTGTCCTCTCTCCTTTTCTTTTCCTTGATCCCCTCTTTTCTTTCTCCTTCTACTTATTTTCTCTGCCAGCCCCCCATCTTTTCTCTTGCCCAGCTCTTTATTAGACCAACCAGGTGTTTTAGACGGGCACAGTAACACAGCTTCACAGAGCTGAATAAATGCAATGTAAAAGAACACAACTTATCTTTGCATCATTAAACAAATGTTGCACAGCCTAAACAAATGTAAGCATCTTCAACTAATATTTCACAACAGATTCTCATCCGGCCCAGGCTGACCCAGAACTTGCTATGTATTGGAGGTTCTGATCCTCCTGCCTCCACCTCCTCAATGCTAGGGTCATGGGTGTGTGCCATCGTTCATATACTTGATTGTTCCTTCTGTCCCTTCAGCAGTGCTCTTCAGCCGACCTAACCAAGTCTAGACCTGCATGTGTAAAAGCCACCATTGTCATTTTGTGTTTCTGTTTCAGTGTAAAGAGCTGGCCAAGTCCAAGGCTGAGGTGGCCTGCATTGCTGTGTATGAGACAGACGTGTATGTAGTGGGAACAGATCGAGGCTGTGCCTTTGTCAACGCCAGACAAGATTTCCAGAAAGACTTCGCACAGCACTGTAGGTGGCCATCATTGCAGTGTGTCCTCCTGGTGCTGTCTGTCTGTTCGGTTGGTTTTTATATTGGGGATTGAATTTAGGGCCTCACATGTGCTAGGCAAGTACTCCACCATTGAACTGTATGCTGTATCCCCAATTTTAACCTCATATTTCATTTTATGAACATTTTTCTTGAGACAGGGTCTCATTATGTAGCCCTAACTAACCTGAGACTTGGTGTAGACCAGGTTGGCCTTAAACTCACAGAGATCCTCCTGCATTGGACTTGTGAGTACTGGAATTGACAGCATGTACCACCATGCCTAGCCTGATAATATGATTTTTGCTCGTCGTACTGTTAACATGGTGTATTATATTTATTGATTTTGTGGATTTTGTTGTTGTTGTTCTTTGGGTTGGTTTTGGTTTTGGTCTTTGGTTTTTCAAGACAGGATTTTTCTGTGTAGCCCTGGCTGTCCTAGAACTCACTCTGTAAACTAGGCTGTCCTCGAACCCACAAAGATCCATCTGCCTCTGCCTCCTGAGTGCTGGGATTAAAGGTGTACCACCACCACCTGGCTGCATTTATTGATTTTTTTTTTAAAGATTAACTGTTATTTATTAGTGTGTGTGTGTGTGTGTGTGTGTGTGTGTGTGTGTGTGTGTATGCATGTGAGTATAGGTGTCCAGAGTCCAAAGAGGGTACCAGATCCCCTGGAACTGGGCTTACAAACAGCTGTGAACCACCTGCTGTGAGTGCTAAGAACTCTGGAAGAGCAGTTCCTACTTTTCTCTTTGGTTTTTTGAGACAGGGTTTCTCTTGGCTGTCCTGGAAGTAACTATGTAGATCAGGCTGGCCTCAAACTCACTGAGACAGATCCTTCTGCCTCTGCCTCCCAAGTGCTGGCCTTAAAGGCTTGAGCTACGGCCTGACAAGCAGTTCCTACCTTTTAACTTTGGAGCCATCTCTCCAGCCCACATGCATTGGTTTCTGTATGTTGAACTATGGTTGTATTAGGTACATACCTAATGTAAACCACTTAAGGGAGGAGTTGTTTGGGGGCCTGGGAGAGATGACTCACCAGTTGGGAATATGGGCTATTCTTCTAGAGGACCTAAGTTCAATTCCCAGCACCCACATCAGGAGATTCAGCCACATGTAGCTCCAGCTCTAGGGGATCCAGTGCCTCTGGCCTTCATGGGCAGTCACTTCATAGACTCAGGTGCACACACCACACATACACACAAACACAATACACATAATTAAAAATAAGAAAGACGTAAAAAGATTTGCTTCACAGTTTCAGTGGCTCTGTGCATTGCTTACAGTCTGATGAGTCAGAGCACGTGGGGCAGGAGCACATGTAGGGCAGTGATCTGCTTGTCTCATAGTGGACAGCAAGCAGAGAGCCAAGAATGGAATGGGAACAGATGTCACTTTCAGAGGCTACCTCCTGTGACCTGCTTCCTCCAGCAAGACCTCACTTCCAGACATTTGCTAAACTTCACAAGTTAGGGCCACCACAGGGTCCAAGGCTACATCGCATGACCCTTCCTTCCCCCCTCATCCATAGCGCCCCCCCACCCCCAGGGTTTCTCTGTGTAGTCTTGGCTCTCCAGGAACTCACTCTGTAGACCAGGCTGACCTTGAACTCACAGAGATCAGTTTGCCCCAGCCTCCTGAGTGTTGGGATTAAAGGCATGTATCACCATTGCCTAGCAGGTACTTTTTTTTTTCTTAAAGATTTAGTTTTTGTTTTTAAGTTTGTCTGGGGCCTTTTGTGTATGTGAGTGCAGTTCCCCCAGAGGCCAGCAAAGGGCTGGAGCTGCAGTAGCGAACCCCTGACAATGGTGCTGGGAAGCAAGCCTAAGTCCTCTATGAAAACAGCACACACTTGTAGCCAAAGCTGATGAGCTCTCTCTCCAGTTTCTATAACACTTTTATTTGTGGAAAAAAAATAAGATAAAATTAATAATAATATATTTTATTTATGGCAATGTATACAATCCTGATACTGTTGAGTAACCCTGCTAGTATATTTATTTTTTTTCCAAGACAAAATTTCTCTGTGTAGCCCTGGCCTTCCTGGAACTCACTCTATAGACCAGGCTGGCCTGCAACTCACTGAGATCTGCCTGTCTCTGCCTCCGGAGTGCCGGGATTAAAGGCGTGCACCACCACTGCCCAGCTGGGATTTTCTTTTCTGGAGTTTTACTTTTGCTGAGACAGTCTCATGTAACCCAGGCTGGCTCAAACTCACTAAGTAGCTGAGGATAACCTACATCTCATGATCCTCCTGCCTGCACTTCCTGAGTGCTGGGATTACAAGCATGTGCCACCATGCCCAGCTCTAGTTTCTTTAGATGGTATAGGATTTAGTTGCTGATTTGAAGATTTTTCTTGTTATTTGTTGTTGTTTTGAGACAGGATCAGCTGAAAGCATCTAGTCAGTGCTGCCCTTGTACCTGTCTTCCTTCCTCAGACTCCAAGTGCTGGGGTCATCAGTGCCAGTACTCACCTGGGCATATGGGGGCAGTCATTTATTTTAGGGGTGGACATCATGCTTGGTCCTGTTCATTATGCAAACCTGCCACTCTGTTGGGACTGGAGAGATGGTCAGTGCACTGTTAAGGGCTGGCAGCACCTCCAGAGGACCCAAGATTGGCTCCCAGCATTCCCATCAGGACCTGAGAACCTCTGGTAACTCCAGTGCCAAGGGACCAGATGCCCTCTAGTGGCCTCCAAGGGCATCCGTACACATGTGTCATATAGACACACATGCATATAAAAGTAAATCTTAAAAAAAAACCCTATGCTGGGTGGTGGTGGTGCACACCTTTAATCCCAGCACCCGAGAGGCAGAGGCCGGTGGATCTCTGAGTTCGAGGCCAGCTTGGTCTACAGAGAGAGTTCCAGGTCAGCCAAGACTACACAGAGAAATATGTCTTGGGGAAAAAACAGCTCAATTAGTAGATCGGTTGTCTTGAAAGTATGAAGCCCTGGCCTCCATCCTCATAAAAACAAAAACAAACCAAAAAAGCCCTCTTTCTTTATATAAAAGGGTCATTTATGATTTTTCCTTTTTCCCCCTCCTTTTCCTCTCAATACCAGAAATACAGATTGGGGCAGGGCAGAAAGAATTGCTCTCTCGCTGTGACCCATGTTCATCCTGTGTTTGCAGGCCAGGGGGAAGGGCTGACTGAAGAGAAACCACTGTGTCCTGAAAATGGAGAAGTCCAGATGCTCAGGAAAGCAGTGGAGAACCACTTCTGCCTTTGTTACCGTGAGTCCCCATGGCGCATGGGCATCCCCGTGTGTGTGTGTGTGTGTGTGTGTGTGAGTGTGTGTGTGTGTGAGTGTGTGTGTGTGTGTGTGTGTGTGTCAGAGAGAGAGTTGCACACGTCTAACGGTACACAGGGAGGTCACAGTACAACTTGCAGGAAGCTGGTGTTCTCCTTCCGTTGTGGGTTCAGGAGACAGATCACCCTCAGTTCACCATGCTTGTACAGTAAGCACTTTATCCACTGAACCCTGTCCAGCCCATGAGTGCGCCATCTTTGAACTCATTTATTCATTAATGTATATGTTTATTTTACAGCACTGTGGGAAGGGGGACATGATCTAGAGTGTCATGCATGCCAGGCAGGCGCTCTTCCTCTGGCCCCTCATTGGGGGATGGATTTTAGTTCCAGCCTCAGCATCACAAAGAAAAAAAAAAAAACCCACAAAACACCTCTAAATTGTCAAACAGCTATGCAGCAGAAAGGGGAGTGTAATGAGTACAAATATGAACAAAGTACAATGATACACATATACTTATAGGAAAATGTCCCAAGAAAGCTAGCTATGATGGAGCATACTTGTGATTTCAGCACTTAGGACCCTGAGGCAGGAGGATCACTGCAAGTGGGTTACCAACATGGAGATCAGGCACCATGGGCTACCTTTCTCAAAGGTAAAAGAACTAGCCAGGTACATGCTTTTAATCCCAGCAATCCAGAGGCAGAGGCAGGTGGATCTCTGTGAGTCCAAGGCCAGCCTGGTCTACAGAGTGAGTTCTAGGACAGCTCGGGCTGTTACACAGAGAAACCCTGTCTTGAAAAACCAATAAGAAGAGCAGTCAGTGCTCTTAACCTCTGAACCATTACTCCAGCCCCAGTTTGGGTTACTGCTGCCGTGACAAAACACCATGACCAAATAGCAAGTTGGAACTGGGCATTAGTAGTGCAACCTTTAATCCCAGCATTTGGGAGGCACAGGCAGGTGGATTTCTATAAATTTGAGGCCAGCCTGGTCTATAGAGCTAGCTCCAGGAGAGCCAGGACTACACAGAGAAACCCTGTCTTGAAAAACAACACAAAACAAAATAAGCAAGTTGGGGAGAAAATGGTTTATTTGGCTTACATATATGTGTATATGTGTGTGAGAATATATATTATATATACAAATGATTGTGTATACCTTATATATGTGTTATGTACATATGAATTACATTTTTACACACATACATATGTATACAAACACACACATATGTATGACTTAATAGAGTGGCTTACAGGCTATGGTCTAGCTAATCCAGCAATGTTGTCTCCTTATAGGAAGGTTCTGGTAGCTGTTCAGTCCACGGGGCTAAATGTCTTAGCTAGTTTTCAGGCTATGTTGGAATCCCAAAGAAGTAGGTTCTAATATCAGTGAAAGAACGCCACAGGCGCAGGATAGATGAACTTGCCAACGAGATTGAGGGCAAGCAGGCAAAGTGCACATCTTCCCTTTCCCATACCCTCTTGTGTGGGCTGCCATCTGAAGGGGAGGTTCAGATTCAGGGTGGGTCATCTTGCCTCAAATGAGCCAGTCAAGGAAACCCTTCACGGCTGTGCCCAGCTTCTTGGGTTTTAGTTGACTCCCCGATGCGTTCAAGTTGACAACCAAGATTAACCATCACAGGAGGGATAGAGTCCATCATGGCAGGGAAGCCATGGCAACAGGCAGGGAAGGCATGGCAGCAGGAGCAGGAAGCTGACGGATCACATTGCAGCGACACCCAGGAAGCAGAAAGAGCAGCCACGTGTCTCTGTGGGTGGAGCTGGCTGGTGGAAACTTCTGCAAGTATCATTTACCATCTCTCACCTCCTTTTCTAGGTAAAGCACTGGGGACAACAGCCATGGTCCCTGTTCCCTATGAGCAGATGCTTCAGGACAAGGCAGCTGTGGTGGTACAGGGCCTTCCGGAAGGCCTGGTCTTTCAGCACCCTGACCATTACAGTCTTGCAACCCTGAGGTGCATTCTGGAGAACAAAGCAGGGATTTCGTTCACCATAAACAGGTAATCTGCTCTGTGTCCTCTAGCAGTTCACTTAAAGGCATCAGGAGACTGAGGTAAGGGAAGTACTGAGGCAAGCCTGGGTTACAGTGAGTTCAAGGGCAGCCTGGGATATATACGGAAACACTGTCTCAGATAGATAGATAGGTAGATAGATAGGTAGGTAGGTAGGTAGGTAGATAGATAGATAGATAGATAGATAGATAGATAGATAGATAGATAGATAGATAAGATCATTATGGTCTGAGGCCACAGCTGAATATAAAGCACTCACCTGGTATGTACCAGGTACTGGGTTCTGCGCTGAAAACGGCAACAAAATAAAAGTGGATTGTTCATTGTGTGTGACTGCTCTGCTTGTGTTCATGTTGGGTAATGGTGTTGGTTTTCTTGCAGACCTTTCCTAGGTGCAGAGAGCCAGCTGGGTAAGTAGCGGGTTCTGATCCTTGGTGGCTATCCAGAACCACTGAAATCATTCTGCTTTTAAGATAACAAGCATGTTTTGAGATTCTCCTTCATTTTCCTATGTCAAGGAGGCAATCTGGGCTGGAGGGTGGGGGTTGGCAGCTTGATAGTAGATCTCTTACCTACAGGATTGCCCAGTGAGGGGCTGAAGGTATGTGGTTCTGCAGTAAATTGAATCACCTGCTTAGAATCCCTCAATGTGTTTGGGAGCATGGCTAACTGGCAGAGTGTCTGCCAGGATCCATCAGTAAGGTTCTAGAGGCATGGTTTGATGGGAAGGAACTTTTCCTTGTCCAGTATCCTCTACTGAGGGACTCAGGGCATGGTCTCAGTGCTAAAGCACCTTCCTAGAATCCCCCAGTGAGGGGCTTGGGGCATGCCTCAATGGGAGAATCCCTGTGTAACATGCATAAGACCCTAGGTCCTCTCATCAACACTACAGAGGCGAGGGAGGAGCTGGAGAGATGGCTCAGTGGTTAAGAACACTGGCTGTTCTTCCTGAGATCCTGAGTTCAATTCCCAGCAACTTTATGGTAGCTAACAACCATCTATACTGAGATTTGGTGCCCTCTTCTGACCTGCAGGCATACATGCAGGCTGAACACTGTATACATAATAAATAAAATTTTTAAAAAGTAAAGGAGAGAGAATCTGTGACACTCAAAGGCTAGGCCAGCATGGGGAGAGACAGAAGCCTGAGACTCAGCACAGCCCAGGCTAGGGAGGTTCTGTAATGACACCCACCTGGTCTTGCAGAGGATTGAGGAGATGTAGGGAGGGAGTCAACTGCTGGTCTGTGAGTCCCAGTTCTGCATGGGCCAAGGGTCGTTGGGTTTGAGGAGTCAAGGATGCATTCCTTTGTCTCTGAAAATTAGGTTTAGGAGGAGTGATTCTACTTAGCAAAGAATCAGAAAGCGGTGGTGGCTCTTAGGATGCCAGCATCATCCCTGGGGTTGGAACGGGGTTAGAACTGCTTGGTTGAAAACCTCTACAGAAATACGGCCCCCAAGATAAGCAGGGACTCATTGGGGGTGGTGGCCCACTCTTGTAGTCCCTGTATTGGAGATGCTGAGGCAAGAGGCTCAGGAGGTAAGGCCAGCCTGAACTATGTAGCAAGTTCAAGATCAGCTCATACTGCATATCAACACCCTGCCTCCGCCGGGTGGTGGTGGCACACACCTTTGCTCCCAGCACCCTGTAGGCAGAGGCAGGAGGACCTCTGCCAGTTCTGTGCCAACCTGGTCTACAAAGCAATTTCCAGGACAGCCAGGACTGTCTCAAAACCCTGTCTCAAAAAAACAAACAAACAAAACACGACCCTGCCTCAAAGAGCCAGAAGTTTAAGAAGAAAAGTGAATAAGCAGCGTCTCTTCAGGTTGATTCTCTTGAGATAACAAAGCTATGTGGGGAAGTGCCCAAAAACTTGTGGGAACCCAGATGTCCCTGTCCCCTTGATTCACAGCAGTGAATATACCCCCTCCCCCATGCCAAATATCTGTCCCAAAGCGTTTAAAACTCCACCCATCTATGGCTGGGCATAATATAGTGTCTTTCATTTCAGCCCTCAGAAGTCAGAAGCAGAGCTATCTCTGTGAGTTCAAAGTCAGGCCGGTCCATCTAGTGAATCCTCAACCAACCAGAGCTACATAGTAAGACTCTGTCTAAAAAGAAAGAAAAGAAATCTATCCATGTTATTTTCTTAAATTATTTCTGCCTCTTATTTTCTTAAATTACTATTTTTGAAATGTAGGTGGAGCTCTGTGCCCCTCAAGGTCTACAAAATATGACGTCTAAAGGGGATGTCATGATTGACAGCACAGGTAGAGGAAGGTGGGAACTGTGCTCCCCCATTGCTATATACCTAAGTCAACTTGGTTCCCTTCCAGGCCACCTGTTTGTGGCATCTCTGTGAGGTCCTAGTGGTGCTCTGGCTCCTGTTAGAGAAGGGAGTATGGTGGCTCTGTCACCTTGAGAGGCTAAGGCAGGAGAGTTGAGAGTTCAAGACCAGCTTGGGCTACATTGCAAAACCTTGTCTCAAAAAAAAAAAAAAAAAAAAAAAAAAAAAAAAATGCAAAGAAAGGACTGAAGGAATGCTCCAGTGGTTAACAACTGTCACAGCAGACCAGGGCTGTTCCCAGTACCCACACAGCAGCTCATAACTGCCTGCTACTCCAGGGGGATCCAACCCCACTTCCTGGCTTCGAAGGTCATCATGACATGCATGAAATATACATACATACATGCACATACACATAAAATGTGAAAGTAAGTATTTTTAAAAATCCAAAGAAAGCCAGATGGTGGTGGCGCATGCCTTTATTCCCAGCACTTAGGAAGCAGAGGTAGGCAGATCTCTATGAGTTTGAGACCAACCTGGTCCACAAGAGCTAGTTCCAGGACAGGCTCCAAAGCTATACAGGGAAACCTTGCCTTGGAAAATAAATAAATAAATAAATAAATAAATAAATAAATAAATAATAAATTCAAAAGGAAACCTGTAGTTTGATGGTTGAATGACAGGTGACATGTGACTGTCATCCCAGAATAATGAATAATTCATATTTTCTTACCAAGTAGCAGTCACACACACCTGCTGACATTTAGTGCTCCTATGGTGACACGGTTCTGTTGTTCCTCAGCCTGTGTGGGGCGTCAGCACTGGAATTCCATGTGAGAACCCCAAATTCCCTAAATGCCAAACCCCTTCTTAATCCAAGCTAGCCCACTTAGACTACCCAGCAACAGGGAGGGAGTGGCAAGTGTTAGACAGGGGCTGTCACCCCAGTGCTGGGGAGGCTGAGGTAGGAGAATAACAGGCCCACATGGGCCATAGAATGGAGTCCCAAGCCAGCCTAAGCCTCATGATGAGACCTCACTGTAAACGAAGAGCTGAGGAGAGAGCGCTCAGCGGTAGGACACTTGCCTAGCATGTGCGAGGCTCTGCTCTGCATTCAATCCTCAGGACCAAAATAAAACTTAAAAATAATAAGGAAAATGAAGAGTCCTCATCCGGATGAGGGAAGAAGTTTTAAAGGAAAGGAGAGAAGAAGGCCTAGCACTTTGGAGTGGAGATAGGAGGATCAGGAGTTCAGGGTCACCCTTAGCTGCACAGGGTATTTCAGACCAGCCTGAGCTATTTACCTTAACCAAACCAACAACGAAATCCAAAAGGTAATAGTGTGTCATTTAGGGGATAATGATGACGCAGAGAGCCTCCGCATGTCCAGGACATTGGTTTTGGTTTGGTTTTTGGTTTTCCCCCAGTATCCTCAGGCTGGGCTGGGAACCTGGGGGCTGGGAGCTGTTGGATGTGGAGAGCTGACTGCTCGCTAATCCTCACTGTTTCCATGAAGAGGCAGGCAGGCCAGTGTAGTGACTCACTCAGGTGACCCAGCTGGTGACTGGCCAGGCTGGGGTCCACACCTGTACTCCTGGCCCTGCCTGCCCACTTCCAGCGATCCCCACCCCCTGCTATACAAGCAGGCTGCTCTGACCAGGCTCCTCCCTGCTCGCATTCTGTGATGGCCTTGAGCTGAGAATTCTCTGTTTTTTCTTTGCTTTCACAAGATGTATCCTTGAATGTGAGTCCCGTCCCGCCGTGCTGAGACTAATGTGAATCTTTTTGTTCTTGTGCAGGTGGCCTTGGGATGGTAACAGATGCCGAGAGGCCTGCACTACCATCAAATGACAGGTAAAAACAAAAAGAAAAAAAGTAATGAATAAAACAGTAACCAGTAAAGGCCTAGATTGGGGGCTGGAGGGATGGCTCATAGGCTAAGAGCACTGACTGCTCTTGAGAGGACCTGGGTTCAATTCCCAGCACCCACATGGCAGCTCATAACTCTCTGTAACTTCATTCTAGGAAATCTGACACCCTCACACAGACATACATGCAGGCAAAACACCAATGCACATAAGATAATAATAAATAAATTTTAAAAAAATAAAGGCGTAGAATGAACCTGGCAGTGGTGGCTCATGCCTTTAATCCCAGCATTGGGGAATCAGAGGCAAATGGATCTGTAAATTCAAGACCAGCCTGGTCTATAGATTGAGTTCCAGGACAGCCAAGACTACACTGAGAAATCCTGACTCAAAAAAACAAAATAATTAAATGATAAGAGCATACAATGAATAATAAACCAGGAATAGTGGCAAAGCCTTGGGATTCCAGGATAGAGAGGGGAGGAATGAGAATCAGGAGTTCAAGGTTGTCCTTGACTACAAAGTGAGTTTGAGGACAGCCAGCATGAACCTTGTCTCAAAACAAAAACAAACAAACAAACATGAAAATCAGGAGTGGGTTTTTTATTTTTTATTTTATGTGTTCAATTGCTTTACCTGCATTTAAGTATGTATATCGTGTGTGTGTGTGTGTGTGTGTGTGTGTGTGTGTGATGTGTCACAAGAAATAGGGTTTCACTATATAGCTCTGGCTGTCCTGGAACTCACTCTGTAGGCCAGCCTTGAACTCACAAACGTCTGCCTGCCCCTGCCCGTGCCTCTACCTCCCAAGCGCTAGGATCTCAGGTGTGCACCACCACACCCAGCTCCACTAATTTTCCTGACTTGGGTTCCCTTCTCCTTGCAGCTGTGGCCCCATCAGTGTGAAAACTGAACCCCTGGAAGATTCTGGTAGGTACACTGATGCTCTGACAATCCAATGTTTGGCAGGTTACCATTTGGCTGCTTTTTATTTCCTTTTATAAAAATGACTTAAGTCTTTTATAAGAATGAGTAAGTAATTAACCATAACTTGGGCCATATTTATAGAGTACTAGGGAAGTACTGCTTATCTGAAACGTTTGGCCTGCCCATGGAGATGGCTCAGCGGGTAAAGACACTTGCCTATTGACATGAGTTTAAGCCCCAGAATGCATACCCTATAATGCCCACAAGCTGGCCTCTACCCTCCATGGTGTGTGCCTACACATGCATACGCTACACACATAGAAAAACACATGAGAGATGGCTCAGCCATTAGGAGCACTTCCTGTTCTTCCAGGGGACCAGAGTTTGGTTCTCAGCACCCACATGGTAGCTCACGCCCGTATGTAACTTCACTTCCAGAGGATCAGATGCCCCTCTGACCCTCTGATTCATGGGCACCAGGCCATACACATGCACATGAAATAAATCCAAAAGGGAAAAAAATGTAGACAAAATAATAAAGTTTGGCTCCAAAAACATCTTCAGTTTTGGATTTTGTCAGATTTGGGTTTGGGGTGTTTGTTTGTTTGTTTGTTTGTTTGTTTGAGGCACAGTCTTTTTATATAGCACAGGCTTAAAATGTGGGATTATGGGACTGGAGAGATGGCTCAGATGGCTGTTCTGAGTTCAGTTCCTACCACCCACATGATAGCTCACATGTTCTATAATGGTAGTAGTCCCTTGGGATCCACTGACCTTTTCTGATGTACAGACATGCAGGAAAGAATTCTACAAAAGGTACATAAATAAATAGTGTAGGATTACATGTGTGAGCATCCATATACAGTGTTATGTATCCACTGGGTAGTGAGGCCATAATGAGGCATTGGATGACTTCCTTTAAAAAAAAAAAAAAGGGGGGGGGGAGTTATTTACTATGTTTACAGTGTTCTGTCTGCATGTGTGCCTGCAGGCCAGAAGATGGTTGTGAGCCACCAAGTGGTCACTGGGAACCAAACTCAGTATCCCAGAACTGCAGCCAGTGTTCTCAACCTCTGAACCATCCCTCCAGCCCTTGATCTCATCTCTTTCTCCAGCTGTTCCTTGATGCAGGGTGCTCCCTCAAACCTGAGCATCACATTTTCTAGTCGAGGCTAGAAGCTGGAAGACCCAGCAATCCTCCTGTCTCTCCTCCATTGGAGCTGGGATTCCACATGCATGTGGGGTGCCTGGTCTGCTTTGTGGGTCCTTGTGACTACATAACAGGTGCTCTTAGCCACCTGCCCCTATCTCCAGCCCCCACATAGCCCTAGAGTGTTTGATTTTTAAATTCTCTGACCGTCTGAGACACATGCCGACAGCTGAGAAACTGGCGAAGCTTCCTCCCATCACCAATGTTAACTGGGAAAGAGTTGAGAGCTGAAAGCCACCTGGTTGGGACTGGGGTGCACGGCCCACAGCTCAGTTCTGCTCAACTGCAACACTTGGCTCATTTCTTCCTCTTGGTGCTCTCTCTCTCTCTCTCTCTCTTCTAGAGCTATTGCTGGAGTTTGGTCTTGCGTGTTCCCCACAGGGCCAGTGTTAAACACTTGTCCCCAGAGATGCCCCATGAGATGGTGGAACCTTTGAGAGGTGGTGTCTACTGGGAAGTCTTGGTCATCGAGGCATGCCCCTGCAGACTGGCCAGTTTACTGTTAGCCAAAGAGGATTTTATTTTCAAGACTCAGTCCTTAAGACCAGGCCCTTGCTTACCTGGAACGTGTCATTCAGATAAGGCTGGAATGCTGGGGTTAAAGGCATGTGCCGTGGCACCCTGCTTCCAAAGAGGATCTTGAAGTTCTGACTGACTTTCCAGCTTCTGCCTCTACCTCTGCAGTGCTGGGATGACAGGCTTGTGCCACCATTGCCACCAAACCAGACGTTTCATTGGGTGGTTGTGGTTACCTGAGCCCTCACTGTGGTATCTTGCTCTTACAGGTACTTCACCAAAGGCAGCAGCCGTGTTAGTCAAAACAGAGTCAGAGGATCCCAATTACTATCCGTGTAACATGCAAGGTGAGGCTGCTCCTGTCCCTTCACAACCAAATGGTAGTCACCACTCATCTGAGAGATGATAAAGAGGAGCCAAGGGGACAGGAGATGGCTTAGAGGGTTAGATCATTTGCTGTGCAAGCACGAAGACCTGAGTTCAGATCCCCAGCACCCATGAAAAACCGTGGTGTGGCCACAGGCACCTGAGACATCAGCACTGGGGGGAACAGGGACGGGAAGACCCCTGGAGCTTGCTGGCCTAACCATCAAGGGGAGCGGTGGAGAGTGATAAAACAGGACACTGGATAGTCTCCTCCAACCTCTGTGCGTGCACACAGATATCTGTATATACCACACACACCACACAAATGAGGAACATGAGTGTATGTGTGGTGTTGACCTTTTGAATTATAGGATGGATTGACTTTATCTTAAATCCAGTGGGGCATTTATGGGACACACCTGTAATCTCAGCTCTCAGAAGGTAAAAGCAGAGGAATCAGAAGTTCAAGGTCATCCTTGACTTGAAAGCAAGTTCAAGCCCAGGCTACATGAACCCCTATCTCAAAATGTAAGTAAAATGGGCTCAAGAGCCCTCACTGACTGTTCTTCCAGATAACCTGGGTTCAATTCCCAGGACCCACATGACAGCTTACACCTGTCTGTAACTCCAGTTTCACATACGTGCAAAACACCAATACACATGAAATAGAAATGTTTTTAATTAATCAAAGTGGCAGTAATGGCACACACCTATAATCCTAGTGCTCTGGAGTTCAAGGCCGGCCTGGTATACATAGTCCTGGGGCTACAGAGAAACCCTGTCTCAAAAAACCAAAAGGAGGAAAAAAAAAAAAGAGTTCAGCCAGGTGGTGGTGGTGGCAGATTGATCAGGTAATGCAATTTATTGAGCAGTTTGTAAAGGATTCAATTCAGCTGGTTAAAAGATACATCAAACCTCATAGAAAAGAATTCAGTGGGCTGGAGAGATGGCTCAGCAGAGGTCCTAGGTTCAATCCCCCAAACCCACATGGTGGTTCACAATGGTCTATAACTGTGGTCCTATGGGATCTGATGCCCTCTTCTGGTGTGCAGATGTCCATGCAGACAAAACCCCACACACATTAAATTAAATAAATAAATACTTCCAGAAGGTTGCTGCGGCCACAGCGATTTGATTGGCTGTAGTGGGATTCACTGGCTTGCTTGTGAATCTGACCCATGTGCCTGGAAGGAATACTGTTGTGGGCGGCGAAATGCATCCTCTTCATGGGAGCTAGTGGACACGTGAGGCGTGAGAAGCTCCTGTATGCTGGTGTTCTTGCCTTCCCTCCTCCTAAGATGTTTTCTATTTCTAAATCAACATAGTTTCAGAACAAACATTGTTTTCCTAAAAACAACAGCAAAAATAGAGGACGGTCAAGAGGGTCCGTGGATAAAGTGCCTGCTGCAACACCTGCTGGCTCCCACATGTTCTAAGGAGAGAACCAACTCCTACAGGTTGACCTCTGACTTCCACACATGCACTATAGCTCGCACCCTACATGTTTGCATATACACAACAGATAAATGAATGTAAAGACTTTTTTTTTTTGGTTTTCCAAGACAGGGTTTCTCTGTGAAACAGTCCTAGCTGTCCTAGAACTTGCTCTGTAGACCAAGCTGGCCTCGAACTCACAGAGGTCCACCTGCTTCTGCCTCCTGAATCCTAGGATTAAAGGCGAATGCCACTTGCCCATTGTAAAAACAGTTTTTGAAAATAGGAAAGGACTTTGTAGTGACATGTTTTGGAGTCACTGTGCTTCTGTAACTCCCCCCCCCTTTTTTTTGTACTTTGTTTTGTTTGTTTGAGACAGGGTCTCAAGTAGCGTAGGCTGGACCCTTGAACTCCTGATCTTCCTGCCTCTGCCTCCTGAGTGCTGGGATTATAGGCGGGCACCGCTCCCAGTTTTGTGTGAGGGTGGGGGTGGATCCAGGACTTCCTGAACACTAGGCAAGCACTGCCTATTACGAATCCCTGTCCTTAAACCTTGCATTCAGTACCTTTGTTGTTTTGTTCTAAATGTTATTTTTTAAAAAGCTTGATTTATTTATCATATATACAGTGTTCTGCCTGCACTATGCCTGCAGGCAGAAGAGGGCTCCAGATCTCATTACAGATTGTGATCCATCATGTGGGTGCTGGGAATTGAACTCAGGACCCTTGGTAGAGCAGTCAGTGCTCTTAACCACTGAACCATCTCTCTAGCCCCCTTGTTCTAAATGTTATATTACCTTCCTGTTCATTTATTGTTGGGGAAAGAAGGGAAGCACCATAGGGCTGGAGTGGAGATAGGAGGATGATTTTCAGCAGTCAGTTTTCCCCCTTTCATAACATGGGTCCTGGGAATCCAACTCATCCAACTCAGGGCGCCAGGCTTGGCTGCAGGCACCTTGGCCTGCTAAGCATCTCCACAGCCGCAGTGCCTTCTGGATGAGGAGTTGCCTTTCTCATTGAGCTAGAGATTGCCTATTCTCCTTTCAGGGAGCCAACATTCTTCCACTAGCAGCGAAGACACAGAAATGGAGTTACCACCTGAAGGTAAGAGAGACGAAGCATCTTCTCCCCTGACACCTGTGGGAAATAAAGAAAGCAGCGACCTGGCATACTTGTCCTCGGAAGCAGCATTGAGGGCTGTGGGCTTCCGTTTCCCTATCTGTAAGAGGGACCTCACACCAGTGCTGTGGCATCACCAAAGCTCTAGGTCTCTTTGTTTGTTGACAGAGGATCTAGGAGCCCAGGCTGGAGCATACCCTGTAGCACTGGCCTCAAACTTGCATCAGTCCTGTCCCCTACGAGTATGGGGGAGAGTGTAGAAGCCCAGGTCTGGCCTTTCTTTCCTGTTTTTGTTCCCTGAGACAGGGTCTCACTCTGTAGCCCTGGCTAGCCCAGAACTTACTATGTAGACCAGGCTAGCCTCGAACTCAGAGATCTGCCTGCATCTGCCTCCTTCATGCTGGGATTAAAAGCATGTGCCACAATGCCAGGCCCTCCTTTTTGATTTTTGGTTTGGTTTTTTGAGACAGGGTCTCACTCTGTAGCCCTGGCTAGCCTAGAACTTACTATGTAGACCAGGCTGGCCTCAGACTTACAGAGATCTGCTTCCCAAATGCTGGGATTAGAGTACGCTACCACACCCAGCCCTCTTATTTTCAGAAGACAGTCTTTGAACATACAGTTCAGGCTGGCCTCAAACTTGAAATCCTTCTGCCTCAGCTTCCTAAAGCTTAGACTGGATGTGTGGACCACCACATCCTACATCTTTTCTTTCTAAATCCTAGTAATTCCTGGTGTTTGTTTGGTTGCTTTTTGTTTGTTTGTTTTTCCAGACAGGATTTCTCTTTATTGCTTTGGAGCCTGTCCTGGAACTCACTCTATAGACTAGACTGGCCTAGAATTCACAGAGACCCACCTGCCTTTGCCTCCAGTAGTGCTGGGATTAAAGGTGTGCGCTATCACTGCCCAGCTGGTTTTATTTTTAATTGTGTATATGCATGTTCAGGTATGCACAGAGTCTAGAAGAGGGTGTCAGGTCCCCTGGAGTGGGAGTTCCTGGCTTCTGCGAGCCACCCAATGTGGGTGCTAGGAGCTGAACTTGGATTCTCTGTAAGAACAACAAAAACTGCTCTTAACTACTGAGTCATCTCAGTAGTGGGTGGGAGTGTGGTGCATGACTTTTAGTGAGGTGAATCTCCATGAGTTCAAGGCCAGCCTGCAAAGTGAGTTCCAGGACAGCCAGGGCTACACAGAGAAACCCTGTTCCCAAAAAATTAAAAAAAAAAAACAAAACACAAAAATAACCAAAAATAAGAAACAACAAACTAAGTCATCTCTCCAGCAACCCCTCCACATCCCATAGTAATCACTTACAAAATTAAGAAGCGCTGTGACCACATGAAATCTACTGCACTGAGTAGAGGACTCAATGCCCATGGATGAGCAGCTCTCTGTTATTTGGTAATACTCAGTGTCCATGGATGAGCAGCTCTCTGTTGTTTGGTAATACTCAGTGTCCATGAATGAACAGCTCTCTGTTATTTGGTAATACTCAGTGTCCATGGATGAGCAGCTCTCTGTTATTTGGTAATATTCAGTGTCCATGGATGAGCAGCTCTCTGTTGTTTGGTAATACTCAGTGTCCATGAATGAACAGCTCTCTGTTATTTGGTAATACTCAGTGTCCATGGATGAGCAGCTCTCTGTTGTTTGGTAATATTCAGTCCATATATGTGAAGAGTTTGATATTGTTTGATAATAGCTTCTGCTTCCCCTCATCTAATATGGAGAATTTCATATTAGATCATGATGTTTACTTTTGTGGAGACCAGGTCTGATGTAGCCTAGGCTGCCACAGACCTTATGTAACTAGGGATATATTCAAAAGAGGGCACCAGATCTCATTAGAGATGGTTGTGAGCCACCATGTGGTTTCTGGGGATCGAAGTCAGGACCTCTGGAAGAGCAGCCAGTGCTCTTAACCTCTGAGCCATCTCTCCAGTCCCAACTTTCAACTTCTTGATCCTTAGGCACTTGCTAGGGATGGAAGGCAGGGCTTGGTACATGCTAGGCAAGCTCTCTACTAACTGAGCCATGTCCCCCATCCTGAAATTATCCATCCATGCATGATGATGATCTCTGATAAAATTAAAATTCACTGTGTGTTTAGTATGTACAAAACATACATTAAAATTTCAAGCTAGGAGTTGGAGAGATGGCTCAGCAGTACGAACACTTGCTGCTCTCCCAGAAGACCTGAGTTCAGTTCCCAGCACTCAATAGCTGCTTACAACTGTAACTCCAGTTCTAGGAGATCTGACATCTTCTGATCTCTGCTTGAATTGCACATACACATAGGCATGTGAGCAAACACTCATACATAAAATAAATCTTTTTTAAAATTCTAAAATGAGGCGAGCCTGAGCTACAAAGTGAGTCCTTGCCTCCAAACAAAACAACTCCAGGGTGAGGATAGATTTGGGTGAGGGGTGGGATGGTGACAGTAAACTCTTGGAACCTGAGATTACGTAATAATGAATGTCATTTTAGACCTTTTCTTTTCAAGAGTCCACTCCACTCGTCTCTTCAGGGACAAATGAGGACCCTGAGACTGATGTGAAAATGGAAGGTGAGTCACCAGAGACACTTGTGATTGTCACATGGTCAGAGTGGCATTCACTGACTCTGAAAGGATTATTGCAGGATGCTGATTGAAGCCAGTGTGCATGCTCACATTCATGCTCGTGGTGGGTTCTGTGTTGGTTTAAATGAGAATGCCCCCACAGGCTCACATGTTTGCATGCGTGGTCTCCAGTTGGTGGCACTGTTTAGGAAGGGTTTAGAGGTGTGGCCTTGGGGGTGGAGGTGTGTCGGTTCTCTCTGCCTTGCGCTCGTAGATCAAGAGGTGAGCTCTCAGCTCCTGCCCTAGCACAGAGCTTACCGGCCTACTGCCATGCTCCCTGCCTTGATGGTCGTGGACTGTAGCCCTCTGAAACCATAGGCCAAATAAACCCTTCTATAAGTTGCCTCGGCAACAGTATCTTATCACATAGAGAATTAACTGGGACAGATGACCATACCACAGTACATGTGGAGGTCAGAGGACAACTCTGTGGGTTCTGGGGACCAAACAGAGGTCACTAACTTTGCAGAAAAAGTACGTTTACCCACTGAGCCATTTCTGTCACCCAAATATGGATGATTAATAGACCTTTCACTATAATTAGAATTAATGCTTGTGGGTTTGGTTTGTGGTGTCCTCACCCTCCATTTGTGAAGGCCTTGGTCCTGATAATTTTACCTTTACAACAAAAATAAAAGACTTAGTGGTGTCAGCTGTCTCCTCAATGAGTGAGCCTCAAGAATCATTCAGTTTTGGAGATGTCACCATGTGCTTCACTAAGCAGAGGTGAGCTCTCCTGACATTCAGAAGGCCCTGTATAGGGATTTGATGCTGGAGAACCTTGCACATGTGGCTGTTTCCAAACCAGCTCTGACTGATGAGCTGAAACACAGGAAAGAGGCAGAGTTCTCTCAGACAAAGGAATCCTTAAGCAGTGGGGCCTGGAAAGCAGGCTTCACCAGCTACCTCTAAAAACAAAGAAAATACGTTCTCCAAGCCAAAAGAACAGCGTATGCCATGAAAGCAAATGTTCCTCAAGGCAGCTGTGTGAAGACAGGAAGAGAAGTAATTTCTGGCCCGCAAATGTCGGTTTGCCAAGGAAGGCAATTCAAGAGCCAAGTTAAATGATGCCATGTCTCTTTCTATTTCCACACGTGTAATGCTTTGTTTTTTTAGCTCTTTAAAGTTGCTCACTTTGATTTGCAAACTAAGTAAATGAATACAGGTGGAGTGGTGAGAGTAAGATAAAGTCCCTCTTTCCTTGGTAATCCCGTTAAGCTGCAAAGTTCAGTACCAATCACTGTCATCCACCTGGCATGCTAGTTACTGTCATAATGCTGCAACAAAATGCCCGATTAAAGGGGCTGCGGTTAAGCGAGGGCATCGATCTTCCGAGGACCCGACTTTGGTTCCCAGCACCCATATCCAGGCTCACAACTGCCTGTAACTCCAGCTTCAGGGCAGCTAAAGCCCTCTTTGGCCTCCACTGTACTCACATGCACAAATCCAAACGTAGACCCACATTTATGCACATAAATAAAAAGATATTTTTCTAAGAAAATCAGCCACTTTAAGGAAGAAGTGTCACTTGTGACTGACAGTCTAGGGGATACAGTCTTTCACGGTGTAGAAGGCACTGCAGCCAGAGCCTGAGGTATCTGGTCACGCCGTATCCACAGTCAGGAAGCCAAGAGATGGATGCTGGCGCCCAGCCCTTCTTTCTGTTCACTCTGGGCCCCCCTCCATGGTGGAGCCCCAGCATCAGGGTGGAGCTTCCCCCGGTCCCCTCCTGAAGCACCCTTGCAGCCCTTCAGGGTCAGCCATCCCTCCGCCCCCCACACTGCTGCTCACTCTTCTCCTCGGGACGTAAAACATCCGATCTGCACTTCTCATCAAATAACAGGTGGGTTCTAGAGATTGGTTCTCTGTTCATCCTAACTCTCCTCTCTTAAGGAAACGCAAATCCGGCCAACATTGTAAACTCCGCAGCAGGCGTTGAAGATCTTAGGATCGTACAGGTTCCAGGTAGGACACTCATTTACTGTCACTTTTTTTATTATTATTAATTTTTATTTTACATATCAATCACAGTTCCCCCTCCCTCCCTCTCTCCCACCCTCATTGTCATCTTTTGTATCTTATTTTTCTTTTCTTTTTTTGTTTTGGTTTTGGTTTATTTTTGATTTTTGAGACTTGATTTTTGTGTGTAACAGCCCTGGCTGTCCTGGAACTCACCTTGTAGACCAGGCTGATCTCAAATTCACAGAGATCCTCCTGCCTCTGCCTCCTGAGTGCTGGGATTAAATGTTGTTCTTTTTGTAAAGATTGCTTTCCTTTAATTATGCGTTGTGTGTGTTTATCTGTCAGTGAGTGCAGTGTCTTGGGAGGCCAGTAGAGGGCATTAGATCTCCTGAAGTGGTAATTGCAGGCAGTTGTGGGCTGGCTTGTATGGGTGCTGGGAATGAACCTAGCAAATGAGCAAATGCTCTTAATCACTGAGCCATCTCTCCAGCCCTCTACAAGAGCCACAAGAGCTCTTAGCTGCTGAGTCTTCTCCCTGGCCAAGGCCTGCCCCACTCCCACTCACCATCTTTTTCAAATGCATTTATTTTTAGATATTTTTTTTTAATGTTTTGGTTTTCAAGGCAGGATTTTTCTGTGTATTCCTGACTATCCTGAAACTCGCTCTATAGACCAGGATGGCCTCAAACTCACAGAGATCTGCCTGCTTCTGCTTCCCAAATACTAAGACTAAAGGTGTGCACTCCACACCAATCTTATTTTTTTTTTAAATAAGAGCCAGGCTTGTTGGGGCATGACTTTAATCCCAGCACTTAGAAGGCAGAGGCAGGCAGATCTGTAATTCAAGGCCAGCCTGGCCTACAGAGTGAGTTCCAGTACAGTGAAGGCTACAGAGAGAAACGCTGTCTGGAAAAAAACAAAAATTTTGAAGTATTGGAAATATTCCCTTCTAGCATCATTTTTTTCTTCTTGTCTTGTCTTGTTGCATGAGGTGAGGTTTGTGCTGCAGCAATTGAAGGCAGTGGTCTCATGCAGCATTGATGCTGTGGCTAAAAGTGACCTGAACAGGGCCTGGAACAACTCAACAGCTAAGAGGGATTACGGCTCTGGTGGAAGACCAGGGTTTGGTTCCCATTCCCACATCTGCTCTCAGCCACTTGTAGCTCCATCCCATATCCTCATCAAAGGGCTCTTGCATGCATGTGGCACACACATAAATACAAGTAATTTCTTAAAGGTAATATCTGGCATGTTTCCATAGGGTTGTCATTTGGAAAATTATCATCTACAGACTTCACAAATTTCCACCTTGTGAATTTCCCAGACTCATATCTATTGTGCTCAGGTAACCAAATGATAAGATGGGTGTCTTAGTTAGGGTTTCTATTACTGTGAAGAGACACCATGACCGCAGCTACTCTTATAAAGGAAGACACTTTTAGAGGTTAGTCTGTTATCGTCATGGCAGCATGCCAGCCAATGTGGTGCTGGAGAAGCTGCTGAGAGTTCTGCATCTTGATCTACAGGCAGCAGCAGGAGACTGTGTGCCACACTAGGCCTAGCTTGAGCACAGGAGACCTCAAAGCCCGCCCCCATGATGACACACTTCCTCCAGCAAGGCCACACCCACTCCAGCAAGGCCACACCTCCTAATGGTGCCACTCCCTATGCATCAAGCATTCCCATACCTATTCAAACCACCACAGCAGGTAGAATACCAAAAGGCATTTCTGTTAATATCTGTCTTGGAGAAGAAAAAAAAAAAAAAAAAACCCAATGTATGAGTGAGCCTGCTTTGCTTCTCCAAATTATCTTTAGATAATGAGAAAGAGAGACTGTCAGGCATTGAGAAAATTAAACAGCTTCGAGAACAAGTGAACTACCTCTTCAGCAGAAAATTTGGTAAGGTTCTGTCTTGTTATACATCCAGAATGTGTTTGTTAAATTATGTGTGTGTTGGGGGATGTGGTATTGTGGTATGTACATGTGAGTGCAGTGTCCTGGAAGGACAGTTTTGAGCCACCGACATGGGTGCTGGGAATCAAACTCAGTCCTTTGGAGAAACATCCAGTGCTCTTAGCTGCGGAGTCATCTTTCCAGTTGGGCATCCTCCACATTTATAAACTTTACCCCCCTCCACCCCTTTTTGAAGTACTGAACATTGAAAACACTCTAGGCCTGTTCTAGTCTCTAGCCAAAATACTTTTTTCTTTTTACTTGTTTATTTTTGAGACAGGATATGGCTATATAGCTTAGACTGGTCTTAAATTCAGTCAAGACATTCTTGCATCAGCCTTTAAAAGTGCCAGAAGTACAGGCCTGTGCCATTTACAGGCTTTTCAGAAGTCTCCGTAGAGTAAGCAGTCCTTAAACCTTTGGCCCTCCTGCTTTAGCCTCCTGAGTAGCTGGGATTCTAGGTCTATGTCACTAGGCTCAGCTCAGTCCTTGTTGGGTTTGGAGACAGCATGTTACTTACATCACCCTAGCTGACGTCTGACACTTAGAGTGATCTTACTCCTTAACTACTCAAGGAGTAGGGATTATATATGTGAGCCTCCAGGTCCAGCTCAGATTCTGACATTAAAGACCAAGTATGGATAGCCTGGCATGTAATCCAAGTACTTAGGAGGCTGAGGCAGGAGGGTTGCTATGAATTCAAGTCTAGCGTGGGCTACCACAGACCCTAACTACAAAAACAAAAAGCAGAGTTTTGGAAAAGTCACCCAGTTTGTACCCCACCTCTCATCCCAGGGGAGGCCATAGGAGTGGACTTCCCTGTGAAGGTCCCCTACAGGAAGATCACCTTCAACCCCGGCTGTGTGGTGATTGATGGCATGCCCCCGGGCGTGGTGTTCAAAGCCCCTGGATACCTGGAGATCAGCTCCATGAAGAGGATCCTGGATGCTGCAGATTCCATCAAGTTCACTGTGATTAGGTGAGCAAGTCTCACAGGAGAAGGAAGCTGGAAGCTGGAGATGGGCAGCTGCTGGGTGGACAGCTCAGGAACTTGGACAGGAAGCAAGCTGGATGGGGAGAAGCTGCACTTCATTTCAGAGTCCAGATGTTCCAAGGCATTTCCCTCTCTTCTGCCTTGCAGCTGTGTCTCCAGTCCAGTTCCTTTTATTATTTTATTACAATTATTTTTGAGGGACTTGTCATGGCCTGTGTGTGAGGACAACTTGTGGAAGTCAGTTCTTTCTTTCCCCCATGTGGGCCCCTAGACTGACCTCAGTTAGGTCTCAGGCTTGGTTGGCAGTGAGCATCTTGCTAGCCATCATGGCTAACGCCCCTCAGCCTCACTCCCGCCTTTGCCTAGCATTGTGTTGATGCCACCAAAAGTGTAGAGACGCAGATGAAAACAAGCTCCCCCTCTTTCTCCTGTGTCTCCCCACAGACCACTCCCTGGACTTGAACTTAGTAACGGTGAGTACTCTGCAAAGTAAGAACATTGCGGGACAGTGCTTTCTGGAGTGTCTTGGTGGGCACTTGGGACAGAGTCCCATGTCTGCAGCCTGGAACCTTCCAGTAAAGCACATTGTTTTGTTGTGGGGCTGGAGATGACACCCAAGTTCTCACACGCGCCAGGCAAGCACTCTGCCTTTGAGCCATACCCACAGCCCTGGTTTACATTTCATTTTGGTTTCTTTTTGTGTGGTTGGTGTTTGCTATTGTTTGAGACAGTGTGTAGCTCTGGCTGGACTGGAAACTCCCCAAAGATCCAGCTGCCTCTGCTTCCTGAGTGCCGGGATTATAGGGGTGTACTACCACACCCAACTGTTTGGTGTTTTGAGACAGTTTCACACTTGTAGTCCCAGACTGACCTTGAACTCATTATATGTAGTCCAGGCTGGCTTCAGACTCACAGCAATCCTCCTGCTTCCACCTCCCAAGTGCTAGATTAACAGACTCATGACACCGTGTCTGGTTTTATGTGGTGTTAGCCATCAAAGCCAGGGCTTCCTGTATAGTGAGCAAGCACTGTCACGCGCCCAGCCCCCAGCTACTCACTCTGTAGACCGTAGACCAGGCTGGCCTCAAACTCACTGAGATCCACCAGCCTCATCCTCCCAAGTACTGGTATTAAAGGTGTACACCACCATCACCCATCTATCCTTTTAAGTTACATTTCCAGATTGATGTTATCAGGAACTATCCCACTTACCTTTATAGTGGCTTCAAATACCAACACACAGAGCAAGGTTTGCTGGCCTACGTCTGTAATGCCAGCACTAGGGAGGCTGATCGGGGGATTCATTGCATGAGTTCTAGGCTAGCCTGGTCTACAGAAAGAGACCATGTCCCAAAAAGCCAAAACAAACGCAAATCCCACATGCACACTTAGGCACACAACTCATAGGAGTTAGGTGGGGTCTGAGTCTCCCCTGGGTCCGTTTTGTTTTGTTTTGGTTTGGTTGTTGAGACAGGTTTCCCTGTGTAGCTTTGGAGCCTGCTCTGGCACTCACTCTGTAGACCAGGCTGGCCACCCCCACCCAGGTCTCTCTCTTGAGATCCACAGCAGGTTAAGTCATGTATCGCCTCTGTTTTGTCCTTACTGTATTTTGGTTTTGTTTTGTTTTTTATTCCATGTGCATTGGTGGTTTTGCCTACATGTATGTCTGTATAAGGCTGTCAAATCCCATGGAACTGGAGTTACAGACAGTTGTGTGCTGTCATGTGAGTGGTGGGGGTTGAACCTGGGACCTCTGGAAGAACAGCCAGTGCTGTTAACTGCTGAGCCGTCTCCCAGGCCCCAGGCCTTTCCTTAATATTTCAAATCTCTCTTGGAAGTTAGGTGGTGTGGCATGCACCGGTGATCCCAGCACTCAGGAAACTGAAGCAAGAGTCTCACTAGCAGTTCAAGGCCAGCCTGAGGTACAGAGTAAGGCAGTCTCAAAAAAGCCAGAGAGAAGCCCAGGCCTTTACTCCCAGCACTCGGGAGGAAGAGACAGGCAAATCTCTGTGAGTTTGAGTCACAGAGTGAGTTCTAGGACAGCTAGGGCTGTGGAGAGGGTGGTGGTGGCACATGCCAGTAATCTCACACTTAGTAAGTACAGGCAAGAGGATCAAAATCCAAGGTCTACTACCTATCATTGGCTACCTAGTGAGTTCAAGGCCAGCCGAGGAGGTATCAGGAGACTGTCTCTCGAAGATAAAGGAAAACAGGGTAAGGGGTAGGGAATTGTAAAATCACCATTCCCTGTCTTTGTAAAGTGGGAAAGCGGAAGATAGACCAGGAGGGCCGAGTGTTTCAAGAGAAGTGGGAGCGAGCATATTTCTTCTTGGAGGTGCAGAACATTCCCACGTGTTTGATCTGCAAGCAGAGTGTGTCGGTGTCCAAGGAATACAACCTGCGCCGTCACTACCAGACCAACCACAGCCGGCACTATGACCAGTACTCGGGGCAAGCGCGGGACGAGAAGCTTCAAGAACTGAAAAGGGGGCTACAGAAGTATCTCGTGGGGGCCTCGGACATCGTGTGCCCCGAGCAAACATTGTCCAATGCAAGTCCACCTTCGAACACAGTGGCACAGCCCATGGAAGACCTGTCTGGGAACTTACTGAAGACATTACGACAGAAAATCCGGTCATTTGTGGCATACTCCATTGCCATTGATGAGATTACAGATATCAATGACACCACCCAGCTGGCCATCTTCATCCGAGGCGTCGATGACAACTTCGATGTGGCTGAGGAACTTTTAGACACTGTGCCCATGTCGGGCGCCAGATCTGGGAATGAGATGCTCCTGTGCGTGGAAAAGAGCCTGAAGAAATTTGGTGTGGACTGGACCAAGCTGGTGAGCGTGGCCTCCACTGGCACCCCAGCCATGGTGGACACCAACAGTGGGCTGGTGACAAAGCTCAGAGCCAGGGCAGCCTCATGTTGCAAGGGAGCCGACCTCAAGTCTGTGTGCTGTATCATTCACCCTGAGTGGCTGTGTGCCCAGAAGTTAAGGATGGGCCACGTCATGGATGTGGTGGTGGACTCTGTGAACTGTATCTGCTCCCGTGGCATGAACCATGGTGACTTCACGACACTGCTCTATGAACTGGACAGCCAATACGGCAGCCTGCTGTACCACACGTCCCTCAAGTGGCTGGGCAGGGGGCTGGTCCTCAGGAGGTTCTTCGAATCCCTAGAGGAAATAGATTTGTTCATGTCTTCCCGGGGCAAACCTGTGCCCCAGCTCAGTTCCCAGGGCTGGATCTTGGACTTGGCCTTCCTGGTGGACATGACAACACATCTCAACACACTGGACGCCTCCCTCCAAGGCCATTCACAGATGGTGACACAGATGTACGACTTCATCCGGGCCTTCCTAACAAAACTGTGTCTCTGGGAGACCCACCTGGCCAGGAACAACCTGGCCCATTTCCCCACGCTGAAATCGGTTTCCCAGAGCGATAGTGACGGGCTCAATTATATCCCCAAGATCGTGGAACTGAAGGCCGAGTTCCAGAAGCGGCTGTCAGATTTCAAGGCCTGGGAGAACGAGCTCACCCTGTTCAGCTCCCCGTTCTCCACCAAGATTGACAGTGTGCCCGATGAGCTCCAGATGGAGGTGATTGACCTGCAGTGCAACACGGTGCTAAGGACCAAGTACGACAAGGTGGGCATCCCGGACTTCTACAAGCACCTCTGGAGCAGCTACCCTAAGTACAGGAGCCACTGTGCCAAGATGCTGTCCATGTTCAGCAGCACCCACATCTGCGAGCAGCTCTTCTCCATCATGAAGCTGAGCAAGAAGGAGGCACAGCAGGGCGCAGCAACATGAGGGAGGAGACGACTGGAGCCTGACATCCCAGTACTGGGAAGTCCGAAGCAGGAGGATCTGAGTTAGAGCATGGTCAGCCTGGGCTACATATCAATATCAAGACCCAGAGAAAGTGCCGGGAGAGAAAAGGAAGGAATGGAAACCTGGCCGTTCCCGTGCACCCCCTTTTTTGTGGGGACCTAGAATGTTCCAGGTCTAATAGGTTGTTGTGAGGTGAGAACAAACTCTTAACACGTCTCGGTTTAATAAAAGCCCCTCTTGTTCGAATTGGAATCCTAATTTGCATATGTTCAGGTGACATTTGATGCCTAGCTATAGTTCAGTAAAACCCGTAACAGGCGTTTCCAGTGCTTGGTGGTGCTTATTCCTGACTAACCTGTGTTGTCCATTCACATATTGCAGTCTTCAATAAACCCACTGCGAAAGGTGTGTGTTTCTGTGTGCTGAGGGGGTGTGCATGCATACAGGGATGTCTCCCATTTTCCCAGCTTGTGGCCTGTGGTCTAGTCAGCTTCCGAGTTTAAGGACAATTGTCTACAGACATTGTCCCCTATTTTAGAATATCAGAGCCGTTCTCTGTGCCTGGGGCTACATTGTCAGGAGTGAGGTAGAAGATGAGGGTAGCTAACACAGGATCTGACAGCTAAGCTGAGGGTTAAAGGCCACCATCTCCTCCCTCTTACCCCCTTCCTCCTCCTCCCCTCCCTCTTCTCTCCTCCTCACTTTTCCTCCATCCTTTCTTTCTCTGCCCTTCTCTCTCCTCCTCCTTTGAGACATAATTTCATTATGCAGACCAGGCTGACCTGCCTCAGCTTCCAAAGATCTGGGATTACAGTACCACTCTATGACATCGGCTCTAGAATCCTTCTTTACCCTGGAATGTGACTTGGGATGCTGTGGGGGCTGACAAGCACTTCCACAGTGGGCCATGTGGGTGTGGTCTTCAGTAACCATGGCAATGTCGTGTCTGTGAAGTTGTGTGGCCAGAGAAATGGGAAGGAAACTGGCCTGGGAGCGGTTCTTTGTTTTGCCAGACCAAGCATTGATGTCTGTCAGTCAAAGGATAGGGAGAAGTGGCCCAGACAAATCCAACCAGGAAGGACACACTCACCTAATTACAGTGTATCCAGTTCACACACCAGAAAAATGTCCAGCTAGCCAGGCATGGTGGCACACACCTTTAATCCCAGCACTTGAGAGGAAAAGCCAGGTGGATTTCTGAGTTAAAGCAGTTTAGTCTGCCGAGTGCCAGGACAGCCAAGGCTACATAGAGGAACCCTGTCTTGACAAAAAGAGAAACTGTGCTCCAAAAATCCAAGCACCCATAGGCGCAAGCTGGTGAGGTCCCAAATGGCCCCTTTCTTGATGGATTTACCCTAAGGAAGCTGCCAACATTTCCTGGGTTGTGGACTCCTTGTCTCTGGATCTCAAGCCCAGAGACACTGGAATAAGCCCACTACTGCTTGTGCACTCAGGGACGCAGATGGTCAGTGGACGGTGACACCTGACTGTCTGGCAGTCATGGGTGTATTGTCCTTGCTCTCTGTAGGATTTCCCTGCACACACAGGCCTCTGGGCAGCCTTCCTGGCCAGTACACTGCAGAAGACCCTAAGGCTGGTACAAGTCAACATCTGCAAGATCAGAAATACAAAAAAACAAATGAGGGTGTGGTGGGTGCACAGTTGGAATTCCAGCCCCCAAAGATGGAGACAGGGTGATCAGGATGATCAAGGCCGTCTTCTGCCACCTAGGGAAGTCGAGGCCAGCCTGACCTACTTGAGATCCTGAATCAGCATGTGCACACATGCACACACACACATGACGGCCTATCCAAAAGAGACATCAATCAGGACTTTAGCTTAGGGGAAACAAAACAACACTAAAAATGGTACACACTTGTAATCCCAACATTCAGGAACCTGAGGCAGGAGGATCGAGGACAGATTTGGATACACAGACCTGTTTTTCCAGAAGTGAGGAAAGTATTTCATATTGTTTATTTTAGTTTGTATTTTTTAAAAGTATGTTTGTGTACCTGAGTGTATGTGCAGCACATGCATGCAGTAGCCCTTGGAAGTAAGAAGAGGGCATCAGATAACCGGGAACTGGAGTTGGAGATGGTTGTGAGCTTTGATGAGGGTTTTGGGAACTGAAACTCTATAGTCTTCTGTAAGAACAGTAAGCATTCTTAATTGCTGAGCCATCTCTTCAGCCCATTTAAAAATTATTGGCTTTTTTGTGTGTGAGCTGCAGGCTCTCGCCATATAGACCAGGCTGGTCTTACCTGCCTCTGCCTCCCTGGGATTAAAGGCATGCTCCACCTTGCCCAGATTTACAGCTGGATCTTATAGAGGCATTTTCTCTTTTATAAATTATTTTGCAGTTTATATGTACTTTTATGTGCATTGGTGCTTTGCCTGTGTACATGTCTGTGTGAGGGTGTCAGATCCCCTACAACTGGAATTATAGACAGGTGTGAGCTGTCATGTGGGTGTTGGGAATTGAACCCACAGTCAGTCGGTGCTCTTAACCTCTGAGCCATCTCTCCAACCCCATGGAGGCATTTTCTCCAATGAGGATTCCTTCTTTCAGATAATTCTAGCTTGTGTCAAGTTGATACAAGAGTAGCCAGCAGTTTCTTTGCATTGGGGGAAGGAAGGACCCACAAGGTCCTAAGGACATGAAAGCAATCAAAGTGGTGGGCACTGTCCACTAATGAGTACTGCTTCTGTCATAAGCCCCTAGGACCCTCTCTGCCAAGACTACATTTTGGGATGCAGTGGTTTGAGACGGGCTCACACTGTAGCTCAACATGATCTCAAACTCACTACTTGACCCAGGCCAACCTTGAACCTAACAGCAGATCTCTTGCCTCTTGGTTCTAAAATTACAGACATGAGCCTCTGCCTTGACCTCCCAGATGCTGGAACACAGACATACCCAATTATAGGGTACAGGGGTTGGAAGCCAGGGTGGTGCACGCTAGTCAAACACGTGGGCAATGCCCATAGTCCCTAAGGTACTGTTTCTCAACCTTCCTAATCCTATGATCCTTTAATTCCTCATGTTGTGGTGACTCCCAGCCATAAAATTGTTTTCATTGCTACTTCATAACTGTGATTTTGCTGCTATTATGAATTTTAATGTACATATCTGTGTCTTCCCATGGTCTTAGGCCATCCCTGTGTAAGGGTCTCAACCTACAGATTGAAAACTAATGAAATCGGCCTTATGCAAAGTTGTTCCTGGGAAAGACTAAAGCAATATGCAACCAGACCTTTCTGTTCCTGCAAACTTCCCCAGCAGCGCTCACTGCCCCCTCTCATCCTAGCAATACCCCTGAAGGGAAGCCCAGCCCTGTCCTTGGCTGCAGAGCCTCAGTCCACTCCAAACAACATTTATTAAGGCAATCGAGGAACCTCTGACCCCAGGCTATATACAAATATATACAGGTATAGGGATGCGACATCTTCGGTGGGCGGTGCGCCCTCACACGGCGGATGCCAGCTTCCGCTTGGTGCTCTCTGTGCAGCGATGCAGGATGAGGTCTGCACTGGGTCGCGGGGGAACCGCGGGCTGAGCCTTGCCATGCTGACTTGACAGATTTTCTGCAAAGGAATGTCGGGACCATCAGAGGCTCCGCCCCAGCCCTAAACTGCGTGTTTTTCCTAGTTCTGATCCTGTTGTCGTCCCCCCCCCCCAAACCCCAACACACGCACCCTAAAGCCCACCCCGCCCCGGTTAGGTTCTAGCCAGCCCTTACACCTGGGGCCCTTAAGAGTTAGCTCCTCCCTCTAGCCCTGGCCCCGCCCCCTTCTGGCTCCTACTCTTTGTGCCCTCCACACTCTGTGGTCCAGGTCGCGCAGGGCGACGGCGCTGCTGCATGAATCTGACACTGTTGCGGCGGTAGGCGTCCTGGCTGAGGCGCTTCCGAGAGCGCTGGTGGATACTCTGCGCATTTCGGATGGTTGACCTGGCCCAGCAGAATGGAGGTGTCAGCACCTTGGAGTCCCTGTCCCCAGGATTCGGGGTGGGCACCCCTGGGGCCCCAAGCCTGACCTGAGAAAGTTGGGTGCGGAAAGGCAGTAGCACCCTGAAATCTGCCCTCAGCAAGTGGATGCAGAGGGACTGTGACATCCCCTCAGGTCCCAAGCCTACATTTAGCTAGTGGAGTGCAGGCAGGAGAACCTGTAAGAGCTGTGGGCGTCGTGGATCTTACCCTGTCTCAGATTTCAGACCTGTTTCCCTCTGCCACCAACATGTCCTGACTTTGGCACTGCCCAGGCCTCACTGGCCATCCCAAAGGACTCTAAGCATCAGTGGGCTCCTCACTACCTCTGTCCCTGCCTTCCCCTCCATTCCTGTGTCTGCCACATCCTGCAACGTCATCGGCGCAGCACTAACCCTGGTAAATGCCTACCCTTCCAGGGACCCGTGGCCCTCCCTCAGGTCTTCCTCAGACCTGCCGGGGGGGGGGGTCTCTCTCACCTTCGTGGTGGTGCCCCGTGGCCTCGGATCAGCCTCTGGGCCTGGGTCATCTCCTCCCCTGCCTTCTGCAGATACATGGATGGGAAGTAGCCGGTGGTGTCCCCTTTCCTGTAAGGGGGGCCACATTGGAGGCTCAGACAGTCGTGAGGGGTGTGTGCACAGAGCTGGAGGGCTTCAGAGTGCCTCAACCATGGCTCCAGATGCAGGCTAAGGGATTTCAAACATTCACACCCAAGGAGCCATGAGCCCCCCCCCCACTCCCAGCCCTCCCTTTCAAGTCTGGGCAGGGGAAGGAAATTAGATGTATACCCTGCAGTATTTGTTGTGACACTTTTAAGAGTCTCCGTGTCATTTTCCTTGTTGCTTGCTTTTGTAACTCCAGAATCACAAGCCAAGTCAGCTCAGAGCCCAAGTGAGGTCCCCTGAGCCCACTCAGGGAGATGCATGCAGGAGGAGGGGCTCTCCTACCTGACCACCCACCAGCCGTCCAGGAGCTTATGAATGACCTCGATGGCTTCACCCTCTGACAGGGACACTTCATCCTCTTCCACAGCAGCGTAGGCTTTGATGGTTACATATGGTTCACCTGGTCCACAGACGGAACACCAGGGGCAATGAGAGGCTACTCCCTCCTCCCTGGGCTCTAGGCTTGCCCCAACTGTGCAGCTGCCACAAGTCCCTCCTCTATCCCCTCAGATCTACACCTTTTCCTCTCCCTTTCTAGGTTTTTTGTTTGTTTGTTTTAAGACAGGGTTTCTCTGTGTAGCTTTGTAAAGCAGGCCGACCTCAAACTCTCAAGAGATCTGCCTGCCTCTGCCTCCCGAGTGCTGGGATTAAAGGCGTGCGCCACCACCGCCCAGCTTCCTTTCTAGGTTTTATTTTAAACAGTATAAAGATGGCACCAAGGGTTTGCAGCATGAAGTGAAAGAGCTCAT